CTAATGATAGGTCTAACCTTAAATAGTGATGGATGGTTAGACGCAAGATCATCGCTGGATACTAATTTATGAGTTTTTATAGGCAAGTACAAGACGGGGCATGTTGGTAAGTCAACTCTAAGTTGAGAGATAACTGATGGTTTTAAACCAGCAGCCCTTGCCATTTTGGCCCATTCGTGGTTTAGTCTTCGGTATTTACTTTTGAATTCCTCCTCAGATGATGGGCGATAAAGCGAAGCATCTTCAAGATGCTTTTTCGTTATCTCCACATCTAACTGATGAGGAATTACGAGATGATGTGTTGTTTGAAGACCGAGAACGGTTATGCGAGGAGAAGGATCTCGTATGAGTCGACGAGATGGATAATGGGCGGATGAACGACGAAGCCTATGCCGCCATTTCGTGGCGGGACCTTTTCTCTGCAGTTCGTCAGGTCCCAGTTCCAGTGATCTCCTATGTAACTCAACACTTTGTAGCTTTCACAGATCGTCTCGCTATCTGATTGTCTGACATCATAGGGGTTTGCGGGTTACTGAGGTTGGCGCATTGCTGGTTGGGCAGTTTGCTCTTTCCTGTGGTACTGACATAACCTTACAAATGCGTCTTCATCCCAGGATAATTTCCTACAGTATGTTGTATTTTAGGTCAGAAATAAGATTTTCTCAACTGATTTTTTGGGAGTAAACTAACAAAATTCGAAAAATTTTGACGGATTAATGACTTTCAGGAGTAGTTGCCTTTTCATGCCGATGAACGTCTCATCAATTCGCACTGTTCTCTTGTTGTTGCTTTCAAATGACCTTCTTAGGGCAAGTGAGTGTTCAGTATCTCTTCTTTTTTTACCCTTGTGTTTATTTTTTTACTGTCAAGCTACTTTTATACTCGAGTGCTTTAGTTTTATTTCGGACCACCTTATTCCACACAACACTGAAATTACCTATTGTTGAGAAATGCGATTTTAGTGCTCTTCTCATTCTTTTATTTGCTGTTGCTTACTTATAAACTGTTTTAAGTTTTGTCATTTTTACGGCAAGTACACACGAGGTTGCTATTATGCTATTTATTAACAGTAACTACAGTTAATGTTTCGGCAGACTTCCCCTTCTTCAGACCCTGGAAAGGTTAAGTTGACTGCAAGCTAGTCAGCCAAACACCTCTATAACCGAAACTGAGAAGTCACGAAGCCTAGATTTCAATCACATTGAAAACAAAATAGCTTCTTCTCACATTCACCGCTTCCAACGAGTCTTCCACTGAGTATTTCACGTGGAGACGAACCGCATGAAGTTCACATGGAAGAGTAATGTGCCTCTCACATTGAAAAATCAGTCTCAAATACTGGGTGCGAGCACGCGTGATTACGCGGCATTTTCCCTGCGGTTTATTCTCGGATTCTTGGAATGTATCCAGAGTGCTTCAAGTGTCTTTGCGCGTTAGTGTTTTGATTTCTTTGTGAGGATGACAACTTCAACTTCAAAATCTTTCCCCTTACGTCTCTGAGTACCATGCGCGTGTAAGGAAGTATTTGGTTTATCTTTAAGTTTATCGACTAGGTGTTTCTTTATACGAACGCAGAGTGGTCTACCCGCTTCGTAAATGTATTCGTCCTTGCACTCTTTACAAAGATCAGATAAACTGTACCCGGAGTGCTGCAATCACCGTCTTTACCGTTATGGCATATTATGCAATTTTGCGTATTACAAAGATGGTCATGCAGGCCATTACGAACTAGCTGGAGTCTTAGAGTGCTCGGTGGTATTTCAATCACTGTTACCGAGCTCCTCAGTCCGGCTCTTCTTAGGCAAGTTTTATAGCCGCGTTTATTTCGTTTGAAACGAAGGGCAGGACGAATATTATCTTGTTTCCGCTAAATTACTATTGGGGCGTAGTTGTTCCTCTACAACTATCACGAAGAGTTACATTTTGCTATACTAGCAAAAGTTACCATACCAGAACAAGATTCGAAAGCTTAAGCGCACAAAACTCCCGAAGTATTCTGGATCCTGGATATTCTTGATTCAAGAATCCGAAAATGGACTGCAAGGAGGAATGCCTTATCATCACATCTAATCCCCCATAGTATTTGAGACTGATATTTGAATCTGAGAGAGAAGCATTACCTATCCATGTGAGCTCTGTGTGGTTGTTCTTCACGTGCAACACTCACTGGAAGACTCATTGGTGGAAGACTTCTAAGGGGTAGATGTGAGAATAACCTGTTTTGTTTTCAACGCGACTGAAATTTTGGTTTCGTGTTTTTCTTTATTTTGGTTATGAAGGTGTTCTGTTGGGTAGATTACAGTCAACTTGATCTTTCCAGGCTCTGAAGAAGGCGAAATTTACCGAGCAGCTTTTTTCTGAGTGAAGCGTAAAGTGACAACCTCATGTGTGGTTATCGAGAAAACAGCGAATTATTGGTTAATGCCGAGCTTAGTAGAATGTCGGTCTTAAAAATTAGTGTTCTTAAAATATTAGAAATTCTGTGCAAAATTTACACCTTCCCTTGTTTTCGAACTTTATTTTGAAAAATGCCAAAATTAGTGGCACAAAATTAAATAGGTACAGTAACACAATAAAATGCTGCCTTTGCTCAAATGGGAGGTTTGTTTCGAATCTGGAAAAACACTTTCCTTGTCAGAAAAAGCAAGAGCCTCAGTTGGTGGAAAACGCTCAAGTCCTTAGTAACGGTAATCACGGGTTCGAAACCCTATTAAAACTTTGAATTTTGCACATGTCTCAGCACCCTTGTGGTTGTATTTCACATAGTAACCTGCCATGAAAAAGAGTAGGCAAGTATAGATAACATTCTTTAAAGGTCCAAACTAAAAAGCTTATTATAGAACCTTTCGGAAAAAGGCCGTCCGAAAAAGCGTTTCCGTGTTTGGAATGGACGGCGTAAACCTTTTCACCTATTTACCATATTTTCTAAGAGCGACAAAAGCTTGACGCAAAACTCCTTTGATGCGTCCATATGTGGAGGAGTGCTGTTCATAATTCCAGTAACCTTTAAAACTCTAATATGGGCAAATTTTGGATTTCTAAAGCAGCAATGGCAGTGTATGAATTTGAAACGGGAGAAGCTGAAGGAAGACCGGCTTCTGTTTTTAAAGGTTCACATCATTCTATCGAAAAACGGCTACATCACCAGATGATAAGGAAACAAGTAACAAAAGCATTCTGGTTGATTACGTCTTCTCTCCCCTTCTCACATAAAATTGGCACTTGTGAGAAAACATGCTTCGAGCAACCATCAGTTTGTGTAATGAAAGAAAGAGGAAGGAGGAATCTCTGAACTTGGCGCGGCAAATAGCCTTTTCAAATGGTTACGAAACGGTTGCTCTTTCGGAAAGATTAAGACAAAAGAGAGTAGCGAAGATAAAGTCTCGTTTAACCTGCCCCTTATCTCCAACGAAAGTAATCACATTACAAATTGATGCTTAAAAAAGCTGGCCTAGAGAATTCCGTGGCAATACCGAACACTCCAAAAAGTTAACTATCTCGTAACCGTTTCTACGGCCATCTGTGCACAGCACAAAATTTATTAATTTGTTTTAACGGTAGAGATGGGAGCTGTCCAATATGTATTCTTTCTTGATAAGCTTGCACGAGGTTGACAAATATATTTATTTTCGGCTAACGTTTCGACGTCTTCGTCTTCCTCAGAGCCGGTGATCCGAGTCGATGGTCCATGCTTGTTGTTCGTCTCGACGTTGCGTCTTCGCCTTCGTGTCGAGCCAGATCTTCCTCAGTGAGCCATCTTCTCGAATGAGGCATCCTCACTCAGTGATGCCCTTTTATACACGATGCGGATGGTGGATATATAATGACAATGTCCGGTGGTAACAACTTGTATTTCTTCCGGACATACATCATTGCGCACATCGTGCAGAGGTCGGTGTATTATCAGCTAGCACAAAGCGTAGTAATATTTCGACTCGGATCACCGGCTCTAAGGAAGACGAAGACGTCGAAACGTTAGCCGAAAATAAATATATTTATCAACCTCGTCCAAGCTTATCAAGAAAGAATACATATTGATTAGTCACACCGAGGTTTAGGGAAAGCCGGTTTCGAAATATTACTACGCTTTGTGCTAGCTGTCCAATATATTGCACTTTTCTAAGAAAGTAACCATCTGCAGAGGTTTACTTTTTAAAAAAAAGGAAATTTTTATAGAATAGGAAAAAGCTCTACTGGTGGGAATTTTGGAAAAGGTTCAGTATGGGCAGATAGCTCACAAGAATAAACACCGGTTAAACTGGTGAATAGAAATACAGGTGAAAACCTCCTTACCACGTTTATATCCACATCAGTCGCTGTATACACTAGCATTCCTCAAATTACCAACTTCTTCCACAATACCATCCATTAATGGCTAGCTTTGATACACAGGTACATTCCTCGTAATATGGACAGTCGTCAGGGTCCATGCAAGAAGATGCTTTACTTGGAACGGGAAAATCGTCTATTCACACATTTTTCAACGTTCACACTATCCGCGGTCATCACATATTGTGCAGGTGCCGACAATTCTTGGATTCGATTTGTTTCTTCATATTCGACATCCGCGGAGATCTTCGTATTTGTATCGCGGTACGGCTACTGGTGCTGATTCCCTTTGGGATATGATAGCCGTGCTAGGGCATTGCCAGGTCATCATAGTAGGAAATTCTGAGCGTTCGTCGATCGAACGGAGCTCATTTCATACAAGTCTGAGATCAATTTCTCGAGCCAGAAAGATGGAGGGGTTGGTTAACTCGCGGCACGTTGAACCTAAGATTTGTAAACATTAGTGCACTGCATCTCTACCATTGTGACACTGGCGAAACGCATAATGTTAGTAATTTAGCCCACTAATATATCTGATATGTCGTGGAAATAAGTGTTGTTCTGAAATACATTAAACAGAATTGATTCACAGTGTTCTTCAATAGGCAAGAGAGCCGGCAACGCTCTCTACTTTTTTTATACTGATTGAGAACTCATACGACTTCTTTAATATGAAACAGATAGGACAGATTCGTTATGTCATCGTACTACAGCTTTTTTCAGAATCGTACCCTGGCGGTATTCCCATACCTGGTAGAACTGTGCCAGTGCTGAGACTATTCGAAAATTACGCTGCCTCATGTCGCCCGAAAACACGACGAGAATTCGGGGTCGATCAACTAGCACAGGTTTTATTTCGGTTTCATTTCACCCCAATAAAGTTTCACTTCGGCTTGTGCTTCGCAGTGGATAGAGGTACCCCTAAAATCCACATGTGATCATTAGCTCGCTCATGCGCTACAAGCTAACCAAGCTCCTCATCTGTCACAGCTTCGGAAAATTGATACAAAACTTGTTTGGAAGGAGAAAAATTCTAACCTGATTCGATAGGAAGCCGCAAGTCAGTGTATAGAATGCCACCTATTTCACCTGTAGTCCCGCTGATCGTCGAGTACCTCGAGCGGGCGCAAGTGAATCCTTCATTTTTCGCCGTCGCGTTCAAGAGTAGTCAGTGGGATCTGCTCGCTCTAGGGACTCGTAGCGGCATATCTTTCTTCTAAGCTTTTCCTGAAAAACTCTCACGATTGAGTCGGTGGTCTTCCTGCAATGCATTTAAGATTTCGAAGAATCCAGTCACTAATGGCTCTTGTCCATCTGTTGTCATTCAGACGCATTACGTGTCCGGCCCACCTTATCTTCGACTGGTTTACAGAGCGGCATCTTTGATTTTTGATCGTTGACGCAGGTCGAAGCTTTGGATCCCATCCCTTACCTGTGTGAAATGGGATACTCCTAGCATCGTCCTTTCGACTGCACGTTCGATAATGCTGAGTGATCTTTCATCCTGCTTACGCAGCGACCAAGTTTCTGTTGCATACGTTAGGGAAGGAAGTACCGTTGAGTCGAAAAGGTGGGCACGGAGTCGGGTGTTCTTTGTCCTCTTCACCACATCCTCGTTGCTCTTGAAAGCTCCTCAAGTTGCTCGTTCCTTACTGCTCAACTCTGGAGCTAAGTCGTTCATCATATTGATTTCCTGACCTAGATAGACATAACTGGAGCTTTCGGAGATATTCGTTCCGTTGAGCGTGAATGGGGCATGTGAAACCAACCCGTTCTTCACGAACGTGGTTTTTGTGAGATTTAGTCGAGGACCAGTCTTTCCACAGGCTTTATCAAAATCGGCAAGCATACGTTCCGCTTGGTTAATGTTTGGTGTTACAAGGACCATGTCATCAGCAAAGCGAAGATGGTGTAAATACCGGCCATCGATTTTCACTCCCACATTATCCCAATCCAATGTTTGCATGACGTTCTGGAGGGTGGCAGTAAATAATTTTGACGAGATAGTATCGCCTTGTCTAATCCCTCTTTTGACGTCAATGTTAAAATCGTTGTAGAATGGTGATACCTTCGTTGCGTAATTTTTGTACAGCTCACGAAGAATCTTTATGTACTGAGTAGGGACTCCTTGACTATCAAAGGCTTCCAAGACTGCTTCTATCTCAACTGAATCAAAGGCCTTCTGTAAATCGATGAAAGTGAGACAGAGCGGTCTTTTGTACTCTCACGATACTTCAGTGAGCCTCGTTACCGTGTGGATGTGATCCACCTACTAAATCCTTTACGAAACCCTGCTTGCTCACATGGCTGTCTTTCGTCTAGTGTTCTGCCAATCCCCATGAGTCGAGTGAAAAGTTTGCAGTCGGCAGACAGCAAGCAGGTAGGGCGATAGTTGCCGGTGTCATATAGGTCACCCTTCTTGAACAATAACACGGTCTTGCAGGTCTTCCACTGTTTAGGGACTTTGCATTCGGACAGGTAACGTGTGAGGCGTGTGAAGAACCGAGCCAGTGTGTTTATGACGACTGGCGGAAGGTTCTTCAGCTGCTCTGATCTTATCCTGTCCGGACCTGGTGCTGGTCGATTTTTCACCGACGAAATGGCATGTCGGATTTTGGAAGCGAGAACCGATGGAATAACATATCCATCCCCCCTTATTTCATATAGCAAAAGGTAGACGTGGCTATCGAAGAGATCTGAGTAGTATTCGTGAATGATTTTCTCCATTGCTTTCTGGACGCTGTAACTGTTCCGTCTGGGTGTCGGAGTGCAATCATTTTGGTCTTGTAAGTGGCGAAGCATCGGTGGGATTTGGACATTCTTTTCCCTGGCTCTGTTGTTTCGACCATTATTGCTGCTCTTCTCTCTTTAAGATCTTCTTTTATCGCCTGTCTGCACTGTTTTGCAATTCGGACGCGCTTGTCTGCAGCTCGTCCGATTCCACGCCGGCGTATCATCTCGAGTGTTTCTGGAGACAAAAGTATCTTGGTGACTTTCGAACTCTCAAATTTCGTAGCGCTAACGTCAAGATGTTGAATGAGCCAATTGTATTTTTCGTCGGTGTTATCGACAAGGGCATCTTCCCAACAACCAAATAATGAATTGAACAGGTTATGGTGGTTCTTGGACTTCGGTTTTTGAATTTTGCGGCTTTTTCTCCTTTCCGCGAGAAATAGAATCTTGAACGAAGGAGGCGATGTTCTGATCCCATGTAGAATTTTGGGACAACAGTGACATCGGTTAGGCAAAGCCTTCTATTTACTATGATGTGCTCTATTTCGTTATGGTACTCCCCATTGGGAGACTCCCACGTCCAGCGCTGAGGGTGGGACCTCTGGAATTGCGAGTTACATGAGTGGTCTTGGTCGTCATGATATACACAGATAACCGCTGATCCTCTTGGTTCCCTTACAATCCATGGGTGCCGATGTGATGTTCTTCATACAATCTTTTTCGTTCAATCTTGGCGCTGAAATCTCCAATGATGACCTTGAAGAATGTATGGTCTTCTCTGTAGAACTTCTTCAAGTCCACATAGAATGCTTCGACTACTTCTTCGTCATAGTTTGACGTCGGCGCGTAAACGACGAAGATTGTCAAAGCCGGTATTGATCCACATCTTTTTAATCGTAAACGTCTGATTCGGGTTGTAAGCTGTTCAAATGAATCGATGTTTATGGACAAACTCGTGTTGACGAGAACGCCAACGCCGCGGACTCCTTTACTGCCGCATGTTCCACAGTTCTTCTCCGGTGTCATAGACGGCGTTGAATGTGTAGCGTCACCTCATCTCTGCGAGGCCGATGACGTCGTACCTTAACCTTCTTGCTTTCGTGAGCAAGCCTTCTGCCGAGTACTCGGATGCAAGTGAACGTGCATTCTTGGTACAGATCGTCATCATAGTTCTGTGTAATCCAAGTTGCTTCCATTGGTCCTGAGATTTTAGCAGCTTCTCTGTAATCGTCCTACCCAACACTGCGAAATTGGTGGCTCTCTTGTGGTCAGGGAATGAAATCCGTTTCTTTCACTGTTTTTAGTTTTTTGATAGCCACGTATAGATTGCTAGGTTTTGAATATGGGAGCTGGGCATACTCACGGGTAGCCTGCCAGGTTCTTCCAGAGTGGACGTGGAGCTTATTTGTTGGACGCCATTCCTAACTACCTTCCATGTACTTCCCAGTCACTTGATTGCAAACTTTTGACCAAATTGACTCGTACAATACAATCCGCATATGCAAGAACGCACCCACACACGCATGCATGAATATGCCTAGCAAATACAGAAAGTATGTGCCAAATTGGCGCAGCAGAAACAGGGAGTCCATCCTCTGGATCCACCTGCGTCTCAGGGAAGCAAAGTCGCCTTTAGTCGGCGATTAACGCGCTATCCGCCGCCTGGGGACGCGCCACGTAGCCTCGCGACTAACCGGCAATCGGGACCACTCATATGAGGGGGATCTGTGTATATGCCAAATATGCATTAATTTTTTTTTTCAATGCTACAGTTTGAATTCAACGCATAGCGCCTGAGGCATGGATCCGTGTCGAACGCTTTATTGCTCATTCAGGGTGATAGGCTAGTCACTGGTAGCTCGTCGAAATGTGCTTCGGGATAGGAACTCTTTATTGGCCTTTAGAATAAACAACCAGAAATCCTTTTTAACTTATCCAGCTTTGCCATTAAAAGAACTAACCCTTCCCGTTCCTGAAATCTAGGAAGTTCACTTACGCACAATAAGGGACTAAACTATTGGCGGGTACACAAAATATACTTATTGACCTCCAACTGCATCAACATTCGTTTTTTATAAAAAGCGTATGCATTCGGACCGTCATTATTGTTCGGATGCGGTTACTCCTGGTTACGGATCAGTTACCAGAGCGGGACGATGTTTTATTCGTATCCTTTAGCACACCATACTTTTAAAACCATCCTACAGGCACGGTAATTGAGAATTCAGGAAATTTCAATGACATTTCGTAATGTAATAAAAATGGATTGGAGCTGGAACGGTGGTTAAAGGCGACTTGCGAAAAAACATGGTCTTTGCTCAGGCATCTCAAGTGAGCAAACCAATCCCCATTGCTATGATGCCGGAAAATTGTAGGAGACTTATAAGTGTAGAAATACTGAGTGAATACATCGCGGGACGCCTGCACGAGCAGTTGTACAGGCGAGCTATGCATTCAGTCATCTTTACGGGTGGTTAATAGGAGAAATTGCGATATCCCGAGCACATTTTGGAATCTGCTTTCCTTGTCATGTCTGCCACGATTTCATATTTCAGATATTAAGTTCTTTAAATGCCGAAGAAGTGGCACAAAAAGTATACAATCAGCTTTTTCACTCGATGGGTGACGTTCAGCTTGGGAAGCTAATGGGCAAATGGTATACTGTAAGTGGTCGTGATGCTTTTCGTCTTTTGTTTTCAAGTGATAGTTGAGGTATAAAGGATTATAGACGTTCGGTGTTTATAAACTCAGAAGAATTAGACCTTACATTCCTGTTCTCTTCCGCTTATTGTTTTTTTTCGCGGAAGTTCATGGAAGCTACCATACTCTTCCCTATTCTTAATTTCGACTCTTAACAAACCGAAGCACTTTATATTGTAAAACCTGGGTTAAATTAATCAACTTTCAATAGTGGTGTAATATTATTGCTTCAATAACGTAACATTTCTTAGGTTGTTGATACCACTGCTGTTCATCCGGAAGAATGCGCCATTCATTACTGTGAGAAGAGTTTCTTCACCAATATTGATCTTTGTTTTTAGCTCTAGAACTCTTCAGTGCTAGCATTCACTGCAATTTCTTTACTCTTTTTCCTTTCTCTATTTCCTGGATTTATAGTTTCCTAATAGATTCACTTCGTTTAGTTGAACTTCTCATGGAGACAAATTTCACAGGAACATTTTCGTCATTGTTGTACGCCTCACATAAAGCAGAAGCAGTAACCTATCAAGGTTTTGCTTATCATGTTTTATCAAGGTTTTGAAACTGATTTCCTATCAAGGTTTTGAAACTGATTTCTTCAAGTAGTGGGCAAATAGTTTTTTTCTCCTTTTTTCCAGTTTTTTTAAAATGTAATTTCATGGGTAGGATCCTAGGATTCGGTCGTATGGTCGGTCCTGATCCAGGCGAGGTGTTCTACACAACGGGACATCCTTCCGACCATTGCCCATGTGAGTTCTTGTTCGGATTTATATGAAATCTCAGTGGAAACCAAAAGCAATTAGCAGCTTAACCCCACAGCAAAGTTTATTTGTTTTTCATTTGATTTTTGAAAAGCCTACATAGTTCACTCGTGTTTTATGAAAGCTGAATCCTCGGCTGAATATTTCTGTAAGTAGTCCTAAAAGAAAAAAGGCAGTAGGAGAAAGATCGAGTTCTCCATATTCTTGTTGAGCAAACACGAGGTGTTACTTTATTCTTTATTCCGTTAAAGCTGACGTTTCGGCGTATTTCGCCTTCTTCAGAGCCTGGAAGGGTATATTGGTGTGCAATTTACTAAGTCAAACGCTCCATTAACACATACAGAAAGATGAAAATCTGAATCGTAGTCACACGGAAAGGACAATAGCGCGTTCGTTCCCCACCGCAGACACCTGCGGTCACAGTTTCACAAATATCTCAGCATTATTGGAGTTATATTTCGCAATATACCCTGTCACCGAAAGAGTAGTCAGTAAATGAAAACGGCTAAGATAGTGATTATAACTAAAGCCTCAGCATAACTGGGTTCATTGCCGATTTTGGCTCCCCTGATCAATCCCGCTGACGGGTGATTACTGATGGCCGAAATCAGTGGAACTAGCTGAGAGAAAGGCGAAACGAAGGACCCGGATGGTGTGGTGGTAAACGCGTTACTTCCCGGAAAGGACAATAACGCGTTCGTTCCCCACCGCAGACACCTGCGGTCCGGAGTTTCACAAATATCTCAGCATCATTGGAGTTATATTTCGCAATATATCCTGCCATCAAAAAAAGTAGGCAGTAAATGAAAACGGTTAAGGTAGTCACACGACCAATAGCTTTTCGAAAAACCCACCGTTTATTTCGAGCCTTCCACTGAGGAAGAACAGCTGATCAGAGTCGCATATGGTCGGTAAGTGCACCACCCCACATCAAAAGTCGATGCGAAGGGGTACGAAGCCAGATCGCGTGTGATCTAGGGCATTCCTCCTTGGTATTCATTCTAGGGTTTGTGGGGTGGTTCATTCATCGGCAATATGTGACTCTGCTCAGCTGTTCTTCCTCAGTGGAAGGCACCTAATAAACGATGGGTTTTTCGAGAAGCTGCTGATCGTGTGATTGCGATTTAGATTTTCACCTTTCTGCATGTGTTATCGGAGCGTTTGCCTTATTAAGTTGCCTATCAATATATCCTTCCAGGCCCTGAAGAAGCCGAAATGCGCCGAAACATCAGCTTTAACGGAATAAAGAATGAGGTAACACCTCGTGTTTGCACAACAAGGGTGTCGAGAATTATTTGATCAATGCCGAGGTTAACAGAAAGTCGGTCGTGAGAAAGATCGAGTATTGGAGAGCAGCACTAGTTTAGGTACAAATAATAACATAACTGGTTAATGAAGGTATCGTAAAGAGTGCAAATTAATGACTGGAATGGGGGGCTGGAAATATTTTAATGCTAGACGTTACCATCCTTCCGATTCTTACTACCGTTAGAATTGACTAACCTTTCTCGTTTCTTTAACCTATTTTTATGACTGTTTGAAAACTGGACTGTTGACCCGGATGGTGTAGTGGTGAAGTGCGCTGCTCCCCGGTAAGGACAACAGCGCGTGTTCGTTCCCCACTGCATACACCTGTGGTCCGGAGTTTTGCAAATATCTCAGCATTTCATACGAGTTATATTTCGCAACATACCCTGCCATTAAGAAGAAAAAGGCAGCAAATAAAAGAGTTAAGACTGTTTGAAAAGTTTGACAGTACGGCAGTTCCATTCTGTACGAAACTACGACGAGAAAAACCTTTGTAATTCATGTAATTCAGTATCTCCACTGTTTCATTACGAAACGAAACCAGTACAGGTAATGAAACGATTCTCATCAAAAAGCACTTAACAAGTCTTTGACATCTTTCCAATTCTCTTCCTTCTCTCAGATGCAGAGTTCTTTTCCGGTATGTTTAGTTATATGGTCGTATAAACTGCTGTTGTTGAGCGGATGCAAGCACGGTATAAGTTTTCGTTAACGTTGTTCTTGATGTTGTTGGTCGATGGTTGACGTTTCGGCGATTTCGCCTTCCTCAGAGCCGTGCTGTTACGAGTGGAACTCCTTTTTCTTCTTGAAAAGTAAAGTTCTCCGCAAAAACATCCATATTGACCCTGATTGTCCACTTTTTTGTTAGAAACAATCACTTGTGTCTATCGATTGTTAACAAATGTCAAAAATTGTTGAAAAACTGATACGCTAGTGAAGAAAGTGTTCCAATGAAGTGTATTGATGTACACTCTCAGATGATCATCGAAACGATCCTTACTTCAATATTACTAGATTTAGATGGCACGAATGAAAAGTAAAAAGTGCAATAATATAACCAACCACTACAAGCTCATCGATTGTAGATAGGTTTGATCAATCGGATGTGATTTGTTCATCAACGCCGCGCCTAGTCCAAAGTCTACAGCTGGTTGCGTGTTGGATAACATTGCAGTCACGATTCATTTATTATCTATGATTCAGTTAGATTTGCTTCGTAGTCGTAATGCTGTCTATTTAACGATTGCTCACCTGTATCACCTGCTATCCGGCTGATCGTCAAGTGGTGACTCATCTGGGCGCCACTAAGACTCCCATTTATGTCTGTCATGTGCAAGAACAGTCCAGTGGGTGCTGCTCGTTCTAGGAATTCATCGAGCATCATATCTTTCTCCTAACGTTTTCGTAGGGCGCTCTGAGGTCGGTGGTCTTCCTGCTGTGCGTTTGACATCCCGAGAAATTCAGTCACCAACGGTCTTGTCCATCGATTCGCGTTCATACGCACTACGTGTCCTGTACACTTAGTCTTAGACAGATTGGCGTACAGAACGACGCCTTCGATTTTTGATCGTTGATCTAGATCGGAGCTTAGGATCCTTTTCCTCAGTTGCGTGATTCGGGGTATTCTTAAAATTCCCATGACCGACTTTCTGTTAACCTCGGCATTAATTGATAATTCAATGTTTTTCATCAATAAGCAGACACGAGGTTGTTAATATAGAATTTATTATTATTTATTATTTAAATTCTATATTAACAACCTCGTGTCTGCTTATTGATGAAAAACATTGAATTCTTAAAATTGTCCTCTTGATTGTGCATTTTGTAACGCCGAGTGATCTTTCAAAGGTAGCAACCAGGTTTCTGATACATATATTAAGGCATGGGTAAGCATCGAGCCCAAGAGGTGCGTACAGAATTGGTCTTTCTTTGTTCTCTTCACTAAATCCTCGATGCAATGGAAATTCTCAAAGCCGGTTACTTCCTCCTGCTCAACTCTGGTGCTAAGTAATCTGTTGATTTCCTGACATAGATAGACGTAGCTCGAGCATTCGGAGATATTCACTCCATTGAGCGTGAATGGGACATACGTAATGAATCCGTTCATCACGATCACCGTTTTTGTGAGATTTAGTTGGAGACCGATCTCACCACAGGTTTTATCAAAGTCCGCAGGCATTTGTTCCCCTTGGCTAATATTTCCTGTTATAAGAACGATGTCGTCAGCTGTCCAGGGCTTCTATGACTGCCTCTATCTCAAGTGATTCAAAACCACAGGTCTCTGCGATGGGGAACGAGTGCGCTATTACGTTTTCCGGGGGTTAACGCGTTCACCACCACACCATGTGAGTCTTTCGTTTCATCTGCCTCTAAGCTAGTTTTCTATCGATCAGTGTCATCATCAACTGAACTACAACCTCAGCCTAATTGGGTTCAATGCTGATTTGGGCTCCCAGATCAATCTCGTTGGCGGTTGTCACACATATTACCATGTCCTGAAAACTTGTAAAGGCAGTAAATAAAAAGTTAGCATTGCGATCCAAAACCTTTCTTAAGTCGATTAAAGCGAAACAGCGCGGTCTCTTGTACTGTCGCAACATTTCGGTGTGTCTTGTTATCGTGTGGGTATGGTCAACCATGAGAGGGTCTATTTCGTTATGGTACTCTCCATTAGGAGACTCCTAACTCTAGCACTGAGGGTGTGGGCTTCTGGAATTGCGTGTGAGCATGAATAGTCTTGGTCGTCATGACAAACTCAGACGGCCGCTCACCCTGTTCGTTCCATTCTAATCCATGAATCCCAATGTGACGTTCTTCAGACGTTCTTCTTGGTCCATTCTTAGCGTTAAAATTTCTAAAACCTTGAAAAAAATTTTCTACTTCTGCTAAGCATACACGAGGTGTTACCTCACTCTTTATTCCGTTAAAGCTGACGTTTCGGCGGATTTCGCCTTCCTCAGAGCCTGGAAAGGTCAAGTTGACTGCAATCTACACGGCCGAACACGTCCATAACCAAACAAAGAAACTCTAAACCAAGATTTCAATCACATTGAACACAGAGCCTTTGCACACTCACTGCTTTCTATAAGTCTTCCACTAAGTATGTCACCTGGAGACCAACTGCACGGAGTTCACATGGAGTCGTAATGTGCCCCTCCTATCAAAATAACAGTATCACGCGTGATAATGAGGCATTTCTCCCGGCGGTTCATTTCTGGATTCCAGAATGCCTCTAGAGTTTTGCGCGCTTGTGTTCTCGATTCCTGCGCGAGGGCCGTAACTCCTACTTTAAAATCTTCTCCGTTATGTTTCTGCGCGCTATGCGTACCTAGTGGAGTGCTTGGCTCACGTTTGCCGACTAGGTGTTCTTTTATACGTATGCAGAGTGGTCTACCCGTTTCGCCAACGTATTCGTCTTTGCACGCTTTACAAGAGATCAGATAGACTGTACCCAAACTCATGCAGTCACCGTTTCTACCATTGGGGCAAAATGTGCAATTTTGAGTTGCACACGGGCGGTCGTATAGGCGGCTACGAAGTAGCTGGCTTCTTAGATTACTCGGTGGCATTTCAATTACCGTTACCGAATTCTCTAGACCGGCCCTTCTTTAACAGCGTTTTATAGCTGCGCTTACTTCATTTGGAATGAACGACAGGATAAACCGGACCTCATTGGCGCGAGAGTTATCGTTGGGGTACCTGTGGTTTCCTCTACACCTATCCCGAGCTGCAGTTTCTTACCCATTAAAAATGGCTATTTGCCGCACCAACTTCCGGGACTCCTCTCTCTGCTGTCTTCCTGTGCACACGCTGGTAGCTGCTCGAAACATGTTTCTCACAAGCGCTCTTTTGGTGTGAGAGGAGTGAGAGGAGAGGTAATGAACTAGGATGTTTTTACTACTTGGCTTTCGATAGCATTTCGCAATGTAGCCGTTTTCTGATAGGTTAATTTGCACGTTCAGAAATGGAAGCCAGTTTTCTTTTGGTTCCTCTCGGGTGAACTTGATATACTCTGACTGTGCGTTTAACAATTCGAAACATTTGTCCATTTCCTCTTGTGTTGAGCAAAGGACAAAGCAGTCGTCTACATACCTACAGTAGAGTAGCGGCCCGAGATCAGTCACCGGTGCTTCCACCTTAGACATAAATGCAATGGCATGGCTTGGAGCCAGTCGTTGTCCCATTGCCAACCCTCTTATTTGAGCGTAGTACTTTCCAGACCATCTGATGATTGAGCAGCTCAAGCATTCTTTTAAGAGTGCCATCAACTGCTCTATCTTGAAGCCATACATATTTATTTCTTCTTCGTGTTGCATAAGGAGTTCAAATATGGCTTGCATTGCGGAGTCATTCGACACGTTTGTATAAAGGGCGGTAACGTCGAAGGACTCCATCACGCACGCGCTGTCGGGCTGCGCAGTATGTAGACGATCCAGAAACATCTGGGTATTCGTAAGATGGGCTGGAATGCGTTTCAACAACTGGTTAAATATTAGGGTTAAAAACCATGTTATCCTGTCCGTCGGCCCGTCTACACAGCTAATGATAGGTCTAGCCTTAAATAATGATGGATCGGTAGACGCAAGATCATCGCTGGATACTAACTTATTACTTCCATTATAACTCGAAAGACCGACTTTCTATGAACCTCGGCATAAATAGTTGATATATTTATTTATGAGATCTTATAAACTGATCTTCTTAAGCTGACGCGAGGTTGGTACAGATCTTCGTTGTCGTTGTCGTTGTCGTTGTTTTTGATGTTATTGATCGATGGCTGACGTTTCGGCGACTTCGCCTTCCTCAGAGCCTGGACGTACTTTATGTTAGAATACTTTTTATTATTCGGTGGAAAAGAAGGTTAAAGTATTAATGAAGATCAAACTTTCAAATAGACGCCATATTGAACAGAAAGGCCACTCACCGTGATGTTACGTGCGGGACTGGCCCACACGTAGTTCACGTGGAGTCGCGAGCAAGACACGCCCCGGGGTCAAAATATCATTTTGAAATAGGGCGCCAGGTCACGCGTGATAGTGAGGCATTCGTTTTTCCGGTTCATCGTTGAATTTTCGAAATCCATCCGAAACACCTCAAGAGTTTTGCGGGTTGATGTTTTTGATTACTGCGCTATGATCCTCACAGTCACTTCAAAATCATCGCCGTTGTGCTTTTGTGCCCTATGCGTACCTAGAGGGGTGTTTAAACGGATTTTAGCTTTCCCATCTAGATGTTCTTTTATGCGGACACAAAGTGGTCTACTCGTTTCCCCGATATATTCCTCGCCGCATGCATTACATGAGATCAAGTATATTATACCTAAACTCATGCAGTCCCCGTCTCTCCCGTTAGGACAGATCATACAGTTTTCTGAGCTGCACAAACGATCATAGAGACGGTTTCGAACTAACTGGCGGCGTAGGGTATTGGGTGGGATGTCAACAATCGTTACATAATTTTCAAGACCACTTTTTCTTAAGCACTTTTTAATGGCGTGACTTACTTCATTTGATATGAAGGGCAGCTTAAAGGGAATCTTATTTTCGTCTGAAGTATTATTTTGGGGAACTACCCAGTGTTTTCCTCTAACCCGAGTGGCTTCTACTTCGTAGCCATTGGAAATGGCAATTTTTCGTGCCAGGTTTCGCGATTCCTTCCTTTCCTCTTCTCCTGTGCACACATTTTTAGCCGTACGATACATATTTTTTTTAGAAAGTTTGATCTTCATTAACACTTTAACATTCTTTTCCACCGAATAATAAAAAGTATTCTAACATAAAGTACGTCCAGGCTCTGAGGAAGGCGAAGTCGCCGAAACGTTAGCTTAATCGTGAACAAAGAATAATAACACCTCGCCTTTGCTCAACAAAAATACGAACAAAAACTAACTCATGAGTTCCCAGGATCGACTTTCTCTTAACCTCGGCATTGGAATATGAATGTGTCGTTTTCTTGTTCAGCAATCGCGAGGTTTTTAAACAGCGTACATTTACTTCCATAAAAAAAACACAATACAATACAACGCTAGCTGACGTTTCGGCAGTATCGCCTTCTTCAGAGCCTCGAAGGGTATACTGATATACAATCTACTAGGCCAAAAAAACTCTGGTAATTACATGATCAACAACTTCTCGCAAAACCCACAGCTTTTTCGTGACTTCCAATGAGGAAGTTTAGAACAGCTGATTATAGGCGCATGTGGTTGACGACCGCACCATCCCACACCAAAAATCGATGCGAACATACGGGATCAGGTCGCGTATGACCTCCGGGCATTCGTCCCTGCTACTCATTGTAGGGTTTTTGGCATTTATCCAAAAAGCCTCAAGAAGTTTTCGCGCTGGTGTTTTGGACTCCTGTGCAAGGATATTGACTTTTACTTCAAAATCGTCTCCGCTATGCCTTTGTATCCTATACGTGCCTAGTGGGGTGCTTCGTCTTAGTTTTCGTTTGCCATCTAGGTGTTCTTTTATACGGATACACAAAGGTCTGCCCGTTTCGCCAATATATTCATCTCCGCAATTGTTACACGAGATCAGGTATATCGTACCTGAACTCATGCAATCACCGTCCCTGCCGTAAGGGCAAATTACGCAATTCGTTGTTTCACACAGACGGTCATACAGGCGGTTACGAACTAATTGACGACGTAGAGTAGCCGGTGGTATTTCAACTATCGCTACCGATTCCTCTAGACTTGCCCTTCTTAAGCATCGTTTTATAGCTGCGCTTACTTCATCGCTTATAAAAGGCAACACAAAAGGGACTTTCTTTCGGCCAAGTGTTTCGCGTGTGCGCGTCGCTCTCCTTCTAAACTTATCTCGTGGGGTTACTATTTCGTAGCCATTGGAAATGGCTATTTACCGAGCCAAGTCGCGCGATTCCTTCTTTAGTTCCCTGGTAGTGCACACAGAGGTGGCGTTCTTGTTACTTGGCTTTCGATACCACTTTGTCAGGTAACCGCTACTTGATAGGTTTATTTGACCGTCCAAAAACGGAAGCCAGTTTTTTCTCGGTTTCTCCCGGGTGAACTTTATGTACTCGGACTGCTCGTTCAATAATTCAAAGCATTTGTCCATCTCCTCCTGCTTAGAGAAGACGACAAAACAATCATCTACATATCTGCAGTAGAGTAGTGGCCGGAGATCGAGAACAAGGGCTTCTATCTTAGACATAAACACTTTTTTTTGTGGAATTTATGGAGTTTTTATGGAAGTAAATGTATGCTGTTTAAAAACCTCGCGATTGCTGAACAAGAAAACGACACATTCATAACTTATGAGTTTTTATAGGTAAGTGCAAGGCGGGGCATGTTGGTAAGTCAACTTTAAGTTGAGAGATAACTGATGGTTTTGAACTAGCAGCCCTTGCCATTTTGGCCTATTCGTTGTTCAATTTTCGGTATTTACTTTTAAATTCCTTCTCAGATGATGGGCGATAAAGTGAAGCATCTTCAAGATGCTTTTTCGTTATCTCTACATCCAACTGATGAGGAATTACGACAAACTCTCCACCCTTACCACTAACGCATAGTCTTATGGTTTTCAACCTCATCAACTCTCGTACCGCTCGCATACCACGTTTTTGCACTAGAGTGTGGTTTGAGCTGTATCTTTTCGCGTGATAGTGATTAAGGACTTTGAGGGTTTCATTCGCAAACATCCGAAAATTAACATCAACTTCATTATTGTGTTCTTGTTGTCCAAAGAACGGTTGAGGTAATGGTGGTACTGGTATTGTCCCCACTTGGTGTTGTTCGCACCTATTTCGCGCTTCATCTCTAGCTTTTGTGTGGAGTCTATCTTGAAGTTCATGTAAACTACATACAACCATACGCAAGGTTACCTTGGAAATGGGTTCGGAAGGTGAGAAGCCGGCTCCCAATTCAAATAACGAGCGGGCACCGTCAGGGAGAGTCATGCCTCTTAACACGGTTATCCTTGATAGAATTGCAAATCAACACTGATCCACCCACTATTCACTTCCAGAGTACTGAGCACAATAGTTTTCCTTCCTCTCGCACTTCTTCCGGTTGGCGAACATCTGGTTTTGTTTGCTTCCTAGACAGGTGCGCAGTACTTGCAATTCGATGTCCAGTACTCGGTGGTCATCCTCTGGCAGTCCGCATACTTCGTGTAGTCATTTCCTTTTTATGAACTTTGGAACGACTTGGTGTTTTATGCAGCGGCGGAGAAAGTGTATCGCCTGTCTAGCTAAGACGATCTTTTGTCTTAGTGACAGTGCTTATTTTGCAAGTCGGAAATATCTTGCTGATACATCTTGTAGTAACTCCCAAGTCCGACTTTCTATTAACCTCGGCGTTGATTGAATATATCTTTCTACTTCTGTTCAGCAAACACGAGGTGCTATTTTATTTCTTTATTTACGCACAAGCTGACGTTTCGGCGGAATTCGCCTTCCTCAGAGTCTGGTAAGGTCAAATTTACTGCAATCTGCACTACCTCCATAACCAAACAGAGAGAATGCTGAACCAAAATTTCAATCACATTGAACACAGAGTCTTTGCACACTCAAAGAATGAATGACTTGAAGAATATATGGTCTTCTGCGCAGAACTTCTCCAAGTCCATATAGAAAGTTTCGACTTTTCTTCATCATAGTTTGATGTTGGCGCGTAAACGACGAAGACTGTCAAGGCCGGTATTTATCCATTCTGAGATTCGGGTTATTAGTTGTTCGAATTCGATGTTCATGGACAAACTCGTGTTTACGTGAACGCCACTGCCGCCGACCCCTCTGCTGTTGAATTGGTCAAAAAGCAGTTCTTCTAATAGACGGCGGCGTTGAATGGATGGCATCTTCTCTTCTCAGCCAGTCCGATGACGTCATACCTTATCATTTGTGCGTACAGATTGTCACCTTAGCCCTTTCTTATTTAGGCCGTCTACGTTAGCCCTGAAATTTTAGCAGCCTTTCCGTACTCGTCTTACCTAATGTTGCCGTATCAGGAACTCTTTCGGGGTCAAAGGAATGAGGCCAACCTATTTTACTACGTTTGGTGTTTGATATCCACGCAATTCTCCCCGACTTCTGAATGTGGAGGCTGGGTATACACACGGTAGCTTGCCAATCTTTCCCAGAGTAAACCCGGAAGAAATTACTTTTTGGAGAACACTCCTAACCACCTCGCATATACTCCACAGTAATTCGATTGTGGGCCTTCAGCTAAATTGATTTTTAGAATACAATCCACATAAACGATAACACATTCATCAAGATTATCAAAGCAGGTAGTGAGCCACATCTCTTTAATCCTAAACTTCCGATTTGGTCGTTGTTTGTTGGGTCATGATCAAACTCGTATTGACGAGAACTACAATGCCGCCGACTCCTACACTATTTCATGTCCCGAGGAACAGTTCTTCTCCGGTGCCATAGACAACGTTGAATGGGCGGCGTGTGTAAAATTTGCGCAGCAGACATAGAAAGTCTATCCCCTAGATCCACCTGCGCCTCAGGGAAGCACTGGATCGTTTTGGTACGTGATTAGCATACTACCTTCCACTTAGAGATGCTTTACGGCCTTGCAACTATTCGGAGTGAAGTCCCTCTATGAGCGAGAGCCATAGTTGCCTGCTGTTATAAGGTTTTATGCTATACTTTGTGCATTTCATATGTAGACGTGACCATTAAGTGCAATGAAGTCGATTTATTGACGTATTTTAGTTACACCTGACATCATTGATTGAGATGATTTTTTTGGAGCGCTATAAGTGATCGTTGGTCAGCAGTTACATCACCTTCGTTTCGCTGATGACATCGTCCTTATAACACCAAACATTAACCAAGCGGAACGTATGCTTGCCGATTTTGATAAAGCCCGTGGAAAGATTGGTCTTCGACTAAATTTCCCAAAAACGATGTTCATGAAGAACGGATTGGTTCCGTATGCCCCGTTCATGTTGAACGGAACGAATATCTCCGAAAGCTCCGGTTATGTCTATCTAGGTCAGGAAATCAATATGATGAACGACTTAGCTCCAGAGTTGACCAGTAAGGAACGAGCGACTTGAGTAGCTTTCAAGAGCAACGAGGATGTGGTGAAGAGGACAAAGAACACCCGACTCCGTGCCCACCTTTTCGACTCAACGGTACTTCCTTCCCTAACGTATGCGACAGAAACTTGGTCGCTGCGTAAGCAAGATGAAAGATCACTCAGCATTATCGAACGTGCAGTCGAAAGGACGATGCTAGGAGTATCCTATTTCACACAGGTAAGGGATGGGATCCAAAGCTTCGACCTACGTTAACGATCAAAAATCAAAGATGCCGTTCTGTACTGTAAGCCAAACAGTCGACGGATAAGGTGGGCAGGACATGTAGTATGTATGAATGACAAGCGATGGACAAGAGCCGTTAGTGACTGGATTCTTCAGGATATCAAACGTACTGCATGAAAACCACCGACCCGATGTTCAGAGTTCTTCACAAAGAGCCTTGAAAAAAGATATGACGCTGGACGAGTCCCTAGAGCGAGCAGAATACACTGGGCTACTCTTGCACGCGATAGGGAAAAAGTGAAAGATTTACTGGCGCTCGCTCGAGTCACTCGACCATCAACGGCGCTACAAGTGATTCAGGTGACCACGGAGCGTGCATGCAGTTCAATGATTAGAGCCGCCCTGCAATACACACTTGGTCACTGCCTCGATCCTGCACTACGTGCTCACCAACTGTACCATCTCTGCGGGATTGTTGAATGTGTACCAGACTTTTCTAAGACCGTAGCAGCACTGGTCCGACACATCGATAGACACGGCAATTCATCGTGTAGGCCAGGTATGCATCCAATCACTTCCACCGATGCTGCGAATTGAAGGGAATGCATAGCGAATGCGAACGTGTCTCTAAGAGATTGGTAAACGCCAAACTCTTTATGATTTTGTGCTTTACCACTCATCGAATTTAAGTCTCCCCATTCAGAACATCCATCAATAACGTTGTCTATGTTGCTGTATTGAAGCTTCTGAAGACAAGGATTGAGAATATAATGGAAATTCTTGAATATCTGTCCATGAATTTGTTTGTCAAACAGGTTTCTTTTAAGATCCGAGTTTCCTGTAGAGAGTAGATATATTGCCTTTTAGTGTGACACTGGTAGGAGACCGGCGTTCTCAAGAATACCGTTTCTGAACGTCTTGAAAAGTTTTGTGCGTTGTTTCTAATATGAGCACTGGTGAGCTGCGTTGGTGGAGTTTTTGTCTTTGATTATCAGCTAGGTTCTCTTAATATATTTGTTAGATTGTTCAGCTTACACGTGGCTGTCGACAATCAGTTAACAGCTGTCTTGTGTACAAGGAGACTGCCGAGAGGGGTTACTTCATTCGAGCGGTGCTTATTAAAAAAAGATTCGACTCAATGCGACTACAGAGATCAACAATGTGAACTAACAACTGTGGACGATCGACTCGAATTATCGTCTCTGAGAAGGCGAAGACGTCGAGACGTTGGCCGAGTAAAGGTCATATAACAACCTCATGTGAGCTGAACACTTTAAAGAGAAAGGTTAAATTTTTTCGCCAAGGTTAAGTGAGAGCAACCCTGGTAAAGTAGATTTTCTTACTTTCAACGGTGTTTCAGTATAGATTTTTCTTCTTGAGGTATAATACAGTTTCATCTATTGCTTCAGGGCATCTACATTTCTAGTAAATCAAAGAGTGCCTGAATTACAAAAGTAAGCTCTCGCCGTTGATCAATCCCTGAGGGATGCGCCATGCATTCGACTTCATTAAGCATTGGTGGAGGTGATTGAATGCATAACTGCATATCTGGCCTTTACAATGACTCGCGATTGCTTACCGATGTATTGAGCCAGTGCTGCTATCCTCCCGAACAAGTCCGGTACCAATTTGCTGACCTCGGAGGGATGGAAAGCTTGGTGTGCCATGGGCGCAGGGATCGATTCCACGTGTGTGTTGAAGGGCCCCTCCGACCACTGAGCTACATGTGCCACATGCGTCCATGCCTGAATTACTTGAACTTGATGCTTAATATTTGAACGGCCCGTCTTCACAGGTTGTGCGGCTCCAGTATGATCTCCATTTTTCGGAGGTTTGCTGGTTAAGCCATTGTGGTTCTTTGGATTCTCGAGGCCGCTTTGGCCAAAGTCTGCCCCAGGTCTTCACCACCACAAGTAGTCGGAGTCCTTGTAGAACAGATGGGGATTTGCCACCATGCGACTTTGATACCAGAACGGTGGTATTGGTATTGGTACTGGTTTACTCTTAGCTAGGCTTCCTGATGGAAACGCCGGTCTCCTTCTCAGCTTGGAAGACTCCGCCAAGGGGATGAATCCCCCTGCTGTACATCGTAGTCTGACACCTAGGAACACCTTCCAGCCACGATGAGGAGGTAAACCGTTGGGAGGATGCCTGAATTATAAAACCGGAAATCTGTATTGCCATGAAGTAGTGAATAAATTTTAGTGGAACATATTGAACTTTGAAGTATAGTGACGAGGTATTCTATTCGAAGATATTGTAGTACTTAGCTGCGTCGTTTACTAGGGTTTGGTTACATTAACCCCTTTTTTAGATGCTTTGTTCACTATTGAGACGTGCTTTGTTGCAAGGATTTTTTTTGATGTGGTATCGTTTAAACTTAGAGAATCGTCTCATTATAGACTTTCCTGTGAAGATGGGCGGTTTGAATTCACATGGAGAGTATGAGTATATGATACTCAGCCAACCACTCAAATATCCAACATTCGTTTTGGCAAGAGATATGGAACGTTTTGAGAACAAATACAAGCCGGAAGTGTATTCATTCCTTGAGAAGCACGGATTTCTCAGTCCAATCGCGTCGCTCAACACTCGGCTACACTTCGAGAACGTCACCGCCTGCAATCGAATCAATCAATATTACGATCAAATGCTGTTGTGATTATTAGGGTGAATGCCATCACTCCATTATTATCGACTTTTTTCTTTAATTGAAAAGACTTACTTTATTAAAGTAGCACCATTTGATTTCAGTGCACCATTGATCACTAAGGAGGTTTTGACCCACCACGTACTCCTGAAGGAAAAGCTGAATCCCGACAAACGACGTGATCCCGATTATTTGCTTCTTATTCCTCACACAGTAATTCCTAGATGAATCTCCAGTTTATTTCGAGTTTCTTTTTACTTCTGACTGCTCTTCTTTCTTTGCTATGGGTGAAGCCGATTTTTCTGATAGTCCTGTTTCACCACTTCATATTTGGCCATATTCAAAACTGCGGCTGCAAATTCATATGTAGCTAAAATTCAACCACGGCATTGATACATACGAAACAATTATTGTTCCAGAACATTTTGTATGGAAAGCAGGGCTCATTAAAAAATAACTGTGGCAGAGAAATAATGATGCTGAAATATCATTAGAATTCAGAACCGCGGGTGGGCTTCAAACCCGCGACTAACCTTTCTGTGGGCTCACGTGTTATCCACTGCACCAGTTAAAGGTCCTTGGTTTGCCCTTTTCTCAGCCAGTTTTCTATCCTCAGTGACAGTAAAAAGAGGTGAAGCATTGTGATTTTGACTGCAGCTTTAGCTTAGATGGGTTCGATGCAGATGTTTGCTCCAGCAATCATCCCCGTTCACGGGTGGCTGCTGATAGCACCGTTAGTGTAAAAAAGTGGTTGACAGAAAGACAAAGCAACGATGGTGCAGTGGACAACACGTGAGACCACGGAGCGGGTAATCCCGTGTTAGATGCTTAATTGGAGATCTGAGTTTTGTTCATATCCCAGCGTTGAGGTCTCATCTTGATACGATTGGAAATATCTCCATAGGACATAATTGGGTCGTTAGTAATTTCACTTGGTTTCTTACTTGTAATGGAAAATTCCTTTCTAGAAGACAAAGGATAATCATATGGGTGGGAGATTTCTCACGAGTTTCTCTAATCTTAACGGTTTACAGTAGAAAACGTTAGGCTTTTTTCGGATTGATCAACTGTATTGTAATAGGAAATTCGTTGCAATGAAATATTAATATGAATGTGTCGTTTTCTTGTTCAGCAATCGCGAGGTTTTTAAACAGCATACATTTATTTCCATAAAAAACACAATGCAATACAACGCTAGCTGACGTTTCGGCAGTATCGCCTTCTTCAGAGCGATCATCAGCTGTGTAGACGGGCCAACGGATAGAATAACCTGGTTTTTAAGCCTGATACTTACCCAGTTGCTTAACCACATTCCAGCTCACCTCACAAACACCCAAATGTTCCTAGAACGTCTACGTAACGCGTCTCCTAATAACGCGTACGTGATGGAGTCTTTCGACGTTACCGCACTGTACACCAACGTATCGAATGACTCCGCAATGCAAGCCATCTTCAAACTTCTTGTTGAACATGAAGGAAGAACAAATATGCATGGCTTGTCCATCCAGCAGCTAATGGCTCTCTTAAATTTTTTTTTTTTTTTTTTTTTTTTTTTTTGGTCTGGAAAATATTTCGCGCAAATAAGGGGGTTGGCAATGGGACAGCGATTGGTACCAAGCCTGGCCATTGTGTTTATGTCTAAGATAGAAGCCCCTGTTCTCGATCTCCGGCCACTACTCTACTGCAGATATGTAGATGATTGTTTTGTCGTCTTCTCTACGCAGGAGGAGATGGACAAATGCTTCGAATTATTAAACGAGCAGTCCGAGTACATAAAGTTCACCCGGGAGAAACCGAGAGAAAACTGGCTTCCGTTTTTGGACGTCCAAATAAACCTATCAAGTAGCGGTTACCTGACAAAGTGGTATCGAAAGCCAAGTAACAAGAACATCCTTGTCCATTTCCTTTCTTCCCACCCTTCACACACAAAGAGGGCGATTGTGAGAAACATGTTTCGAACAGCCACCTCTGTGTGCACTACCAGGGAACTAAAGGAAGAATCGCGCGACTTGGCTCGGCAAATAGCCATCTCCAATGGCTACGAAATAGNTTCGCAACCGCCTGTATGACCGTCTGTGTGAAACAACGAATTGCGTAATTTGCCCTTACGGCAGGGACGGTGATTGCATGAGTTCAGGTACGATATACCTGATCTCGTGTAACAATTGCGGAGATGAATATATTGGCGAAACGGGCAGACCTTTGTGTATCCGTATAAAAGAACACCTAGATGGCAAACGAAAACTAAGACGAAGCACCCCACTAGGCACGTATAGGATACAAAAGCATAGCGGAGACGATTTTGAAGTAAAAGTCAATATCCTTGCACAGGAGTCCAAAACACCAGCGCGAAAACTTCTTGAGGCTTTTTGGATAAATGCCAAAAACCCTACAATGAGTAGCAGGGATGAATGCCCGGAGGTCATACGCAACCTGATCCCGTACGTTCGCATCGATTTTTGATGTGGGATGGTGTAGTCGTCAACCACATGCGACTATAATCAGCTGTTCTAAACTTCCTCATTGGAAGTCACGAAAAAGCGGTGGGTTTTTCGAGAAGTTGTTGATCGTGTAGTTACCAAAGAGCCTTTCGTCTTTGTGTAAGTGTTATTGAAGCGTTTGGCCTAGTATATTGTATATCAGTATACCCTTCCAGGCTCTGAAGAAGGCGATACTGCCGAAACGTCAGCTAGCGTTGTATTGTATTGTGTTTCTCTATGGAAGTAAATGTATGCTGTTTAAAAACCTCGCGATTGCTGAACAAGAAAACGACACATTCATATTCCAATGCCGAGGTTAAGAGAAAGTCGATCCTGGGAAATATTAATACTTTATCGATTTACGAAGATAATAAGGGTGTTGTTCTAGGCTCTTCGAATTGTTTTTAGTGTATTAGTAACGGTTGCTAATGAATAAGGAAGAAACAATAGCAAGAAAGCTGACGAGCGAGTTGAAGTGACTAGAGCACTCACAGATAAGGTGATTAGTGCCCTGCACAATTTTTGTTCCTCTGTTTTTTAAGGTGAGTAGCTGTTTGCAAAGTATCGCAACTCCGTTCTCTACTCCACTGTTCCCATAAGTCCATCACTCTTCATTCTCACACTATCATCCCTTTCCTTTCTTTCTCGATAAGCAGTATAGGGATACAAATGGGAACCCAGAAATGGATTGGCTTTTCATGAACTTGCTTCTTTAAAGGAAGTAGTGACTATACGTTGAGAAATTGTTCTATCTGTTTTACCGTTAGACATCTGTACAACATTATGCTTGGTCGTCAATAAAGTACTTTGATGAGATTATGTAGTGAACCCTATCTCAGTGGTAATGTAATGTTTGTATCTATGGTGTTATAGAGTGATAAAATGTGGCTTATAGAAAGATTGTGTACTGCTTACGATTGGTTCTTATCACTTTGTCTGAAATTTCATTGATGTGGAAAGTTAAGGCTTCGAGTTAACTAGTATTGTGGACCAGTTAGTTTTGTGAATACTTAGATGATTGCCCACACAAGTTTCTATTGATGTTGGTAGTATGGCTGAGACCAATGTGCCAGAAATATATACTAGTTGGTTTAGTGGAAGACATTCCTCGAATCAGCTGTAAGGACGGAATAAGTACTTATTCGAGATAAAATGCTCGAATTCGTGCGAATTTGCTCCGCGGAACTTTTTGGTGTTGCCAAACAGCCAATATGTATGAAATAGAGATATAAATACTCTTCATGAAAGTAGATAGCTCAACAATTGAAGGTCATTTTTAGTAAAGAGCGAAGGTTATGTGGACGGTGCGACCAATAGCGAATCAAATGGAGTGACGTTAGTTAGTGGATAAGACAGAAAAGTTCGCAGAGTAGAGCTCTTAGAAGCTCCTACGTTGATCGGTGATTATGTATAATTGTGAACCTAAGGCGTTTAACGTCCAAAGACCTGAGTGTTACGTAGAATAATTTGAAATATAATATATTTATTTACATGTTCCTATGAACAGATCTTGTTGAGCTGATGCATGGTTGGTATAGTTGTCGTCGTTGTCGTTGTTGCTGTTCGTCGACGGCTGACGTTTCGGCGATTTTGCCTTCCTCAGAGCCTGGATGTATTTTACACAACAGTAGCTTAATAGTTTAATAGTTCGGTTGAAAAAAACCAGAGCATTAATGAAGATCTAACATATAAATAAACGCCATATTGATCGAAACTGCTCACCGTGCTGTTAGGAGTGGGAGTGCCAGCGTGTTGTTCCAGTGGAATGACGAACGAGACTCACCCAGGTCAAAAATGATTTTGAAATAATGTGTGCAAGGTCACGTGTGATAGGGAGGCATTCGTCTTTCCGGTTCATCTTTGGATTTTTGAAACTTATCCAGAACGCCTCAAGAGTCTTGCGCGTTGATGTTTTTGATTCCTGTGCAAGGATCCGGATTTCACGAATTTTAACTTTCCCATCTAGGTGTTTTTATGCGGACACAGAGTGTTTTACCCGTTTCCCCAATATATTTTTCACTGCATGGCTTACACGAGATCAAGTACATTGTACCTGAACTCATGCAGTGCCCGTCTCTCCCGTTTGGACAGATCACAGAATTTTCTGGGCTGCACAAAAGATCATTGAGTGGTGGCGAACTAACTCACGGAGTAGGATATTGAGTGGGAGGTGAATAACCGCCACATTATTCTTAAGATCACTTTTTTTAAGCACCTCTTAATGGCATAACTTATTTCGTTTGATATAAAGGGTATCTTGAAAAGGTTCTTACTTAGGCTCAAAACACCATAGGAGTCCCACTCATAACAGCACGGCTGTGAGGAAGGCGAAGTCGTCGAAACGTCAGCCATAACCAAGAACACCAACAATAACGACAACGACAACGACAACAACAAAAACAGCGACAGCGACAACTCATACCAACTTCGTATCAGCTCAACAAGATCGGTTCATAAGAACATGTAAATAAAATAAGACACTGCTTGAAGAGAGTCACTAGCTGTGCAATCGACAAGTCGTTGATTTTTATCTTCTTTTCGTACTTTACGAGCAGCTCGAGAATGGCTTTCATTGCGGAGTCATTCGACACTGGAATAAAGTGAGGTAACATTGAATAACTCCATTAAATGCGAGCTGTTTGGCTGCACGCACCGTAATTGATCTAGAAATATATTTGAAAGAAGGCACAATACATTATAACCGCAATGATGCTGAGATATTTGCAAAACTCCGAACCACGGGTGTTTGCGGTGGAGACCGAAACCGCTACTACACTTTTGGGCGGAATGAACCTGTGGAACCTGCGGTACGGAGTTCTGTAAATATCTCAGTATCATTTTCTTATTCGCGCGTGTAGTGCAGTTGTCGGCACCCTGCAATACACATGAGATCGATCCACGCATGTAAGGCTCGCCAAGCCTTCAATCACTCGAGTGAGGCAAATTGATAATAAATTTGTCTGGGAGGATAGCAGCACTGGCTCGATACATCGGCAGGCCACCGCGAGTTATTTTAAATACCAGATATGCATCCAATTTCCATGAGCGATGCTAGGCAGTGAATAAAAAGTGATTACGTAGTGCATTATATCCCAGGGGTATACAGTGTTAAGAGATGTGATTAAAATAAGAGACATGGTAGAATAGAAGTTAGAGAACATTTCACGAGAAGTGTTCTCTATGAGTACCACTAATGCCGATAATGAATTTACAGAACATCAAGAGAAGGTGCGCTTTTCTGTGAAATACTACGAAGGCGCTGCAGATATTTTTTTGTGTGTGTGTTCAACTTTTATAAGGATAACGGCTAAAGCGTAGAGTAGGTTACTCCTTTCGCAGCTTCAAAAGCGGGTACCACGTTTGCTTTCTAAAAGTGAAAGTTTTGCAAAATATTTGTTTCTATGATCTTATAAACTGGTCTTCTTGAGCTGATGCGAGATTGGTATGGGTGTTCGTTGTCGTTGTCGTTGTCGTTGCTGTTGGTGTTGTTGGTCGATGGCTAACGTTTGAGCGATTTCGCCTTCCTCAGAGCCTGGCCTTTTTTTTAAAAGAATACTTTGATTATTCGGTGGATAAAAAAGCCAAAGTATTAATGAAGATCAAGCTTTTTCTGTGATCGTTTGTGCGGCTCAGAAAACTGCATGATCTGTCCTAACTGGAGACAGAGGGATTGCATGAGTTCAGGTACACGTGAAGAATATATTGGGGAAACGGGTAGACCGCTTTGTGCCCGCATGAAAGAACATCTAGATTCAATCTAGATGGGAAAGTTAAAATTCGTCAAGGCACAGCAGATGTGCATAGGGCACAAAAGCACAATGGCGATGATTTTGAAGTGACTGTGCGTATCCCAACGAAGGAATACAAACATCAATGCACAAGACTCTTGAAATGTTTTGGATAAATTTCAAAAATCCAAAGGAGAACCGGAAAGACGAATGCCGCACTATCACACGTAACCTGGCGTCTTATTTCAAAGTGATATTTTGACTCCTGGGTGTATTTCGCTGGCGACCCACATGAACAACGTGTGCGCCAGTCCCACTCGTAACACCACGGTGAAAAGCCTTTTTGATGAACATAGCGTTTATTTAAAAGTTTGATCTTCATTAATACGTTAGCTTCTTTACTATCGAATAATTAAAGCATTCTTGTACGAAATAAGTCCAGACTCTGAGGAAGGCGAAATCGCCTAAACGTGAGACATCGAACAACAAGGACAAGAACAAGAATAAGAACAACGACGACGACGACAACGACAACAACAACAACAACAACAACAACCATGCCATACCATACCAACAACAACAGCGAAGAGCTATACCAATCTCGCATCAGCTTAAGATCGAGTTATAAGATAATATAAATAGATATATCAACTATCTATGCCAAGATTTATAAAAACTCGGTTATTTGAGTTTTGCAAAGTGTTTCCACAAGCCAATAGACAGCATTTTAACACTTTTTGTTCACAATTTTAACTTATTATTTACTGCATACTCTTTTGAACGGCAGGGTATATTGCGAAATATAGCTTAAATGATACTGAGATATTTGCAAAACTCTGGACCGCAGATGTCTGCGATGGGAGACGAACGCGCTACTGTCGTTTCCGGGGAGCAACGCGTTCACCACCACACCATATAGGTCCTTCGTTTCGTCTTTTTTATTCAGTTTAGCATTATAACTAAGTTTTTAAACGAAAGAAAAGAAAAAACAAAGTTCTTAGCAAAATAATTTTCAAACCGACCGTCATCTAACCTGGTAGTAAAATAATCAACATGTTTTTAATTTTTTGAGCTTAGTTGTTAGCGTAGACGATTCTCTAGTGTGTTATGAGAAGAAGACAGCGCAGCGAAGAACTTTTTAATCTTTGATTTGAATGGCTTAGTGGTTTGAGAGTTTTCACTTTACAGTTTAGTTCTTTTTACTGGACTCTTATGCATTAGTTCTTTGTAATAAACTATTTTCTTGCTCCTCTGTGAGCAGGAACATCATTTCCACGCTTTGCTTTTGTTCGCTCCGCCAGCTGTGTCATACGGGCTGTTGTAGTAGTCAGAGAACTTTTAATTTTTTGGCTGTATAAACTTTCGATAGTTTTTATTGTTGTGTCGTCAAATGAGTCGTCATCAGTGTCGTTTATGGAAAGGTGTGTCACGGATTTGAGAGAAAAAAATCAAAAATGCCATCTGATGAGAACCGTGAGACGTTGCGTTTCCCTCTTTCTTTTCTTATCTCATTCATTCTTTTTAGAATGATATCTTTTTTGCTGCAGAGTTGATAGCGTGAGCCTGCAGACTAATGTACCAAATGTTGAGCTTCCACATATCTCCCTCATGAAGGGGTCTTATGCTGGTTAGTCTCGAGGCAACGTGGTGAGCACCAATGTGGCGAATAGAGGGTTGATCGCGGCCGAAAAGCGATATTATATTTCCCCGAGGGAGGGTTGATCCAGGGGATGAAGTTCCTGTTCCTGCTGCGTTGAATTGGGAAATACCTTCTGTTTCAGGCTGGCGCATTTTATGTGGATTGTATTCTTATTTGATACTCCCGTCCTAACTGGTTGTGCGGGTTCCAGCATAATCACCGTTTTTCGGAAATTTGCTGGTTAAGCCATAGTGGTTCCCTGGAATTCCGAGGACAGCCTGGCCAAGGTCTGCCTCAGGTCGTCGCAACCACAGGCGGTCTCAACCCTTGTGGAAATTTGCCACCATGCGACTTTGATACCAGGACGGTAGTTGGTCCTGGTATTGGTTTACCCTTAGCTAGGCTTCCTGATAGAAACGCCGGACTTCTTTTCAGCTTGGGAGACCTTACCGAGGGAACGAATCTCTCTGCTGTGAAACGCAGTCCGACACTCAGGAACACCTGCCAGCCACGAGGTGGTAAACCGTTGGAAGAGATTGTATTCTAAAAGTTAATTTAGCCAAAAACCGACAATCAAGTTACTGGGAAGTATATACGAGGTGGCTAGGACTCTGTTCGAAAGAATACTTTCTTCATTGTCTACTCAGAAAGATTGCCAAGCTACCATTTGTACACCCAGCCTCCACATTCAGAGCTTGGCAAAAATTGCTTGGATATTAAACACCAAACATAGTGAAATAATGTTTACTTTTTTATTTTCTGCCTACTATAACTTTTACGGCAAGGTATCAAGCGAAATACAACCACAATAGTGCCGAAAAGGTTCCTGGTACGGCAGTATTGGGTAAGATGAGTGCGGAAAGGCCGCTAAAATTTCAGAGACATTGTAGAAGGCCTTAATCGGAAAGGGCTAATGTTGACAACTGTACCCGCAGTGTACGCTTACTTGCATCTCAGCCTTCGATGAAAGACTTAATCACGCAAACAAGAAGGATAAGGTACACCATCAACGGACTGGCTGAGAAGAGAAGATGCCATCCATTCAACGTGGTCTATGACACCGGAGGAGAACTTCTTTTCGGAACATGCGACAGTAGAGGAGTCGAACAACTAGCAACCCTAATCGAACGTTTAAGATTGAAGATATGTTGATCAATACCGGCTTTGACAATCTTCGTCGTTTACGCTCCGACATCAAACTATGACAAAGATGAAAAAGTCAAAGCGTTCTATATGGACTTGGAGAAGTTCTACAGAGTCCATACACTCCTCAAGGCTGTCATTGGAGACGCTTACGTAAAAATTGGGCCAAGGAGAACATCTGAAGAACGTCGCCTTAGTACCCACAGATTTGAATTGAACTAAGCGGGTGAGTGGCCGAGTTTATCATAACGACCAAGGCCATGGTGACTCGCAATTCCAAAAGCCCCACCCTCACTGCTGGACGTGGGAGTTCCTAACGAAGAGTGCCATAACGAAATAGACCACATCATAGTAAATAAAAGGTTTTACCTAACCGATATCGCTGAAGTTCCAAAATTTTAAAATCGCACTATCGCCTCCTTCGTGTAAGATTTCATTTTCCGCAGAAAGGACAGAAAGTTTCTAAATTCAAAAAACGAAGTCTCAAAACCATCACAAACTGGGACTTATTCAAATGACTAGTGGGCTGTTATAGAGATGCCGTTCTTGACAATATCGGCGAAGAACGCGATCGGCTCATTCAACTTTTTCACGCTAGCGTTATGAAATCTCAGAGTTCGAAAGTCACCAAGAGACGTTTGTCTCCAGAAACACTCGAGATGATACGCCGGCGTGGAATCGGACGAGCTGCAGACAAGCGCGTCCGAATTGTAAAGCAGTGCAGACAGGCGATAAAAGAAGATCTTAAAGAGACGGAACAGTTACAGCGTCCAGAAAGGCAATGGAGAAAATCATTCACGAGTGCTACTTGGTTTTCTTCAATGGCCACATCTACCTCTCGTCATATGAAATAAAGGAGGATGGATATATCGTACCACCAATTACGAGGTCCGGACACTATATGATCTGGACACCTAAAGAACGTTGCGCCCCTCGTCATAAACACACAAGCTCGACAGACTGTTGACCCATTATTTTTGGGGAGGCAAGGTTCTCATTCAGTAGAAGGCCAGCAAAAGTGTTTTATTGTTCAAGAAATGTTTAAACTTCATTATATCGGCAGCTATCGCCCAATCTGCATGCTGTCTGTTGTCTACAAACTCTTCACTCGAGTCAACCTAAACAGAATTGACAGATCACTGGAGGAACGACAGCAATGTGAGCAAGCAGTGTTTCGCAACAGATTCAGCATGGTGGACTAATCAATACGCTAACAAGATTCACTTAATTGTTACAAGAGTACAAGAGACCGCGCTGTCTTATTTGCATCGATTGAGGAAAGCTTTTGACTCGGTTGAGATAGAAGCAGTTATGGAAGCGGTGGAGTGCCACGGAATCCCTGCTCAGTATATAAAGATTCATCTTGAGCTCTATAAGAACTTCACAACCAAAATATTACCATTCTACCACGATTTTTAACATCGACGCGAAAAGAGAGGTTGGGCAAGGTGGTACTATGTCGTGAAAATTACTTTGCTGCCCCACTTGATAACGCCATGCCCAACATTGGACTGGAAGTGAAAATTGATATTCGGCAACTATATCAGCTTCGCTCAGTTTATGACATCACTCCTGCAACGCCAGACATTAGAAAGACAAGCCTTCGACTAAATCTCACGAAGGGATGTTAACGAAGAGCTGGTTGGTTACGTGTGTCTCATTCGCGCTAAACGGTGCGAGTGTCTCCGAATGCTCCAGCTACGTCTGCCTAGGTCGGGAAATTAACATGATGAACGACTTAGTTCCATAGCTAAGCAGAAGGAAACGAGCCGCTTGGGGAGCTTTCAAGAGCATCGAAGATGTAGTGAAGAGAACAAAGAACACCCGACTCCGTACCCACGTTTTCGACTCAGCGGTATTTCCCGCGTTAACGTATGTATCAGGAGCCTGGTCGCTGCCTGAGCAGGATGAGAGATCACTTAGCGTTATTAAAAGAGCAGTCGAAAAGGCGGTGCTGGGGGTATCCCATATTACGCTAGTGAAAGAAGGTGTCTGAAGCTCCGATCACTCCAATCTACGTCAACGTATGAAAGTCGAAGAAGTCGTTCTTTATGGCAAACTGTCGAAGATAAGGTGACACGCGATGCGTATGAGCGACAACCGATGAAGACGAGCCGATAGTGACTAAATTCCTCGGAATATCAAACTCACGGCAGAAAGACCACCCACCCGACAGTCGGAGTTTTTCACACAAACCTTGAAAAAACATATGATGCCCAATGAGTCCATAGGGCGACCAGAACCCATTTGGCTAGTCTTGCACGCGAAAGTGAGAAATGGAACATTTACTAGCGCCCTGTCATGTAACTCGATGACCAATGGGAGACGGGTGACAGGTGGATGTTAAGCCTCTTATTAACGAAGAAGCACTCCTTCCAATGTTTCCCATGAAAGTTTTGCGGTATGTGGAACTATTGCGTGCGTGTATAAGGGGTTTATCACCCGTATTTGTACGCGTGCGTTGAAAGACTGCAGCTACTCCTATGGCGAATGAACAGATGATATCTACCGTGAGCGCAGACCTCTCTCTTATGTACTAGTATGTTAAGGTTATGATAACGTTCCTTAAAGATTACGATGTCGACGTGGCAATAATGTATGATAAATGTTTCAGAGTGGAGGAGAGGGCAACTTGACGGTTGTCTACGGTCGAGCAGCGAGGGTGAAAATGTGAGTTTTTTTCTTTAACGTAGAAGTCGCTATTTAAAGCGCTGAGATGTTTCACTAGCAAAAGATCTAGATTGGCCGTTGTTATTAAGTAGCAGTGATCATAGTTGGTAGTTTCGCTAGTACTAAAAATGCACTCATATCACTATTGAAAAGGGTTGTACTGATTTTCGTTCTTGTCACCATGATCACCTTTTCGTGCATTTAGCTATTGCCATGAGATTATTTGAGGACCATCCCAAGTGAGTGTACTAAGTGCCCATCGTATTTTACTTAATATTCTTTTTAGAAAATGCTTAAAACATGCCAGTGCAACAAATTCTTCTGCAGGTTGATAGCTCAGTTTGATGAGGTTGCATGTTACTCTAAAACTGAGGCACTTTCTACGGTTACTAAGAAGTAAATTTGTAGGTTTCTAAACTACTACGACCAGTAATGTTAAATATGGCAATGACGTTGATCGCATGGATTTACGTGTATGAGATGAAGACAGATGATCGTCTTTCGGCGATGTTTCTGATGAGTGGCAACGCTACTACAGGAAATGAGTACAAAGATGGCCTTGTCAGTGATTTTCAATCCTTAAATCCTGGACCAAGTGACTCATCAAAGCGATTATTTCTACCAAATCTTACCGAAATTCACAGCGGCTTCTTTTGGAGAGTGTCCCATACATGTTTGCTTTCTTGTCTCCACGTCGTGAGCGGCAAATATAATGCGAGGTAGTGACAGTGTGCAGCATCGTACGCAACCAGTTGTTGGATTCTTATAGGAGTGGAAAAGTCGGTGTTAAATTTGAATCGAGTTTAGACTAAGGGATGAAATCTTTTGTCATAGTGGCGTTTTTTTCGATCTTTTTACTTTGCTTGATTTTTAGAGCACCTAAAGCTTAGTTTCAGTGCGAAATCTGTTCAAAAATCTCTGATACCTCTGATCCATAAGGACTGCGACTGCCTGTCGTGGTGACGACCTGGTGCAGAATTTAGCCGGCCAGGCTGTCCTCGGAATTCCAGGGTACCACAATGGCTTAGCCAGCAAATCTCCGAAAAATGGTGATCATGCTGAGGCCCATACAACTAGTGATAACGGGCCGTTCAAGTATCAAGCATCGAGTAATCTGTTCAAGAGCGTCGATGATCACAATGAAATGCACTGATTTGCGCTATAGTATCCTTTGCCCTTTTCTAGGCGTTAATGGAAATTGGACACTTTTTTCTCCTATCATTTAGTAACACGGCACTTTTACAGATTAATGCGTTTAGCGCAATGATCATCCTAGCTGTGGTGTCGTTTTCCATGTTGTCGCTTGCGCTCTATGACTGCCGCCGTCTGGTACAACTTTGGCTACACATGTCGTGTCTGCTAATTTTATTCGCTGTGTCTGGAGGATTTTTCTAGTAGGCTTATGGTTTTCTATTTAATTTTATTTAAGTGGTCTAAAATTACGCTTCGCACAGTAAATATTTATTTCGTTTTGTAGCCCACGCCCCGAGTAATGAATTTTAATTGTTTCGAAGTAAATTCACTTGAAGAGGTGTAATCCGAGACGTACCCATAACTGTGTTCAAATTACCAGTGGTCGATTTATGTCATGGATTATGTCTTGAATTTAAGAAAGGACTTGTGTTCTGTAAACTGTTAAGAGTTGACAACTAATCACCATATTAACTCATTAAATTACTCTTCTAACTAGTCCTAACTAATCCACCATCGTCCTGGTATCGAACAAGTCGCATGTTGGCAAATCTTCCTTTAATCCACAAGGGCGGTGACTCCCTATCGTGGTGACGAACTGGGGCAGACTTTGGCCAGGCTGACCTCGGGATTCCAGGGAGCCACAATGGCTATACCAGCAAATCTCCAAAAAAAATTGGTGGTTATACTAACCATTGAGGACGGGTCATCCAAGTATCTAAGTAAGTAATTTGCTCTACCCATAGGCAAGTATTGTTTCCTACTGCCCTTCTTTCCTGCTTAAAGGAGTCGCAACAATGGTGAACACAGAAATGCTTGAATGGGACATTGTTGAGGCAAAAAGAAAAAGGGACCAAGGTACTTGACTTATGTCGTTATAATGGTTTCATTGGGGTCTTCCTAAAAGGTAATCTCCAAGCGTCTTCGAAGAATCAGCTACGTGAAAGCTACGTTGTCAGCGATCGTCGAACAACTGAATGTGTCGGCATCAGGTTTTTTGAGAACAACTATCACAAAGCACCAGCTAATTAGCGACGGTTATTCGAGTGTGTTTTTATCATCGTTGTAAAAGAATGATTCGAGAAGACAGCATATTCTCCTCAAAGTCGGTTAACGATCGTGACAATGAACTCAGCAAATTGAATTCAGTGTTTAGCTTCTACAAATGTCTTGAAAATGTTACAGACCAACTCACGAGTTTAATTTCCCCTTCCTTCGTTCTATTTACTGTATAATCTTTTCGCTGAGTTTCACACGATGAAGGTTCTTTGGTGTGGTGATGAAGGGGATGGGTAGATTACTCTTACTAGGGACCATATCTTTCACCAGATGTCAAGGATGACTTAGAGAATAAGAAATAATGTCGTTTTCGTTGCTGTAGAGCCTTTCAAAAAATTTTTCAAACAAAATTTAGAATCCTACCATCCGGTCCAACCCTTATACCCGATTTCCCAATTCGGCTCAAATTTTAAGCAAGGGGAGAATTTTACAGTCCATCACGAGAGCGCTTGCACGACGTCGAAATACAATCGACCCAGGTAGTGTGAGGAAACAGGAGGGAGACTTCCGGCCTTAAAGCTTTTTACGCTTCGTTTTCTTTTGCTGAACATTTATCGTTGTGTTTCAACTTTTGCTCACCGTCTATTCTTTTTTCATGGCAAAGTATGATGTGAAGTACAAACAAGTGCTAAGATATGAACAAGACTCGGAACTTCTATAAAACTTCGAACCCGCTTATAGTCTTACCGAGAGTTCAATTGCTATAAACCACACTAATCGAAGCCCTCGCCCCTCCTTTTTTGAGCCTCGTTCTTTCCTCTTTCTCGCCTACCAGCAAACACTCGTGAACAGGAACCATGTGGGAGTACAAAGTGGCAATGGACCGAGTTAAGTAGATACTGCAGTTGAAATCACAATGTGTTAACTTTTGTTTGTTGCCCATTTTTTTGAAACTAGGTTCAATGGCCATTTGTGCTCCCAGATCATTCCTGTTGGATGGCGATTGCTTATAGCATCTATAGAGTAAAACAAGGCTGAGAGAAGAGCCAAACAAGGTCTCAGTTGGTGTGGTGGATAGAATGCGAGACCCCGGAAGGAGTAATAGCTGTTTCGAAGAACTTCTTAGGTTCTGAGTTCTGTTCACATCTCAGCATACTTCTGGTTGTACTCATGATTGCGATATGCTTCTTAATGTTTAGTGATGTCCTGAAAAATCTGAAAATCGGTGAGGAAAAGATTGTTTACGAATATCTTCCGGCTCTGGTTACGGCATACGGTGGCGTTGGTTGCTTTGTAGGTTTTCATCCCATTACTTTCAACACATTACTTGTGTACATGTGTATGTGTTTGTCTATGTGCATGTGTATGTATGTGCTTATGTGTGTGTTTACTTCTTTGCGAGAATAAGATTTAACATTGTCTTCTATAGGCATTCTTTTATCCTAAAGCACCACTTCCTCTTCATCAATTCTATGTCCTTTCCAACTGCAGTCTTGTTTCGTTGTTCTATCTCCGCTCCTTCCCCGGTTACACTGCATGGTTTGTTCTGTGGAGTGTGGCGCTGTGGGGTGAGTTGGAAAACTTTAATTCCAACTACTTTTTTAACCTTCTTGTTTACTACCTACTCTTTTTAATGGTGGGCTGTGCTGCGAAATATAACCCTTATGATACTGAGATATTTGCAAAACTCCGGTCCGCAGGTATCTGCGGTGAGGAACGAACGCGCTATTGTCCTTTCCGGAGAGCAACGCGTTCACCACCACACCATGAGGGTCCTTCGTTTCGCCTCTCTCTCAGCTAGTTCTATCGATCATTGCCATCAGCAATCACCCGTCAACGGAATTGATCTGGGAAGCCCAAAACGGCAATGACCCCAGTTAAGCTGAGGCTGTAGTTATAATTACAATATTAGCCTTTTTCTTTACTGCCTACTCTTTTAATGGCAGGGTGTGTTGCGAAATATAACCTTTATGTGTTCACAGTATTCTCAAGCGGTGTGCACCACAATTAGATGTACACTTCGCGCACCGCTTGGGTGGTCCTTCCACAAACTTTGCAAGATTTCGCAGGGTCTATGTTGTATTAAACACGGCACGGAAAATGTGTCGTTAGGGAACAGAAAACCCATGTCTTGTACCATAGCCACCGAAGCGCATGCAGCAGCATACGACTTTAAAAATTTTCATCGTGACTTGTAAATGCGACAGTAATTGTTTGAAAGATATATGTCAAGTTAAAATTCTTTTTAGATATCTTCGCCGTCCTCGCTCCTATTGGACCCCTTCGCAAGGTTCAAGAAAAAGCTGGAGACTATAGTCATAGCGTTCGTACGATGGAAACTAATAGCTAATAAATAGAACTCGTTGTTAAAATTTGAGAACCAGTAGCAAAGTTAGCGCTTCATAGATAATGACTCTTCGTCAGGAAAAATTTTCAGGTGCTACGTTTCCTCATGTTCACAGCTGATGCTAATTCGATAGTTGAAGTAGCCGAAGAGAAACAGTCCAGTGCTGAAGAAGAATCAACAGCTGAGAGCATGACGGAGGTTGAAAGTTTACTACAACAGCAAAACGACGCTCCTACAACGTCGTCCATCACATTGAGTTCCGAGGATAGCGAGGTCGATTATTTTCAGTCTTATTGTTTCCACTTCCTCTCAACGGTTTACCGCCTCATCTCAGCTGGGAGGTGTTCCTGGGTGTCAGATTGTGATGTGCTACGGGGAATTCATCTCTTTTGCAAGGTCTCCCAAGCAGAGAACGAGCCCGGCGTTTTCTTCAGGAAGCCTAGCTAAGAGTAAACAAATACCAAGATCCACCACCGTCTTGGTATCCAAGTCGCATGGCATAGTGGTAAATCTCCCTCTGATCCACAAGGGCTGCGACTGCCTCTGGTGGTGGAGGCCTGGGGCAGACTTTGGCCAGGCTGACATCATGATCCCAGGGAACCACAATGGTTCAACCAGCAAATCTCCATAAACTGGAGATTACGCAGGGGCCCTCACAACCAGTGAGGACGGGACATCCAAGTATCAATTATCAAGTATTGTTTCCACTTTATTTTTGAATAGCTGAAATATGATAAATTAGCCGAATATCTCTTAAATAATGTTTATTACTGGTTACTCTGCCAACAATTTAGAATTGACAATGCTAGCTTTTCATTTGTTGCCTGTTACAATTTTTCATGGCAGAGTATGATGCAAAATACAACCAAAATGATGCCGAGATACTTGTAAAACTCCGAACCGCAGGTGCTGCCTGCGATGGGAAACGAACGCTCTATTACTCTTTCCGGTGGCTAACGCGTTCACCACCACACCATGAGAGTCAAGTGGTGAAATTTAGAATTGCTTCCTTCTTATTAAGACAATGTTTATATGTAGATAATATTAATAACATTGACGTTAAAACTGACTTTTTTATTTACTGCCTACTACAGTTTTTCGCGATAGGGTATTATATGAAATTCAACCATAATGGCCGGACCAGAGTTTTACCTCAGCATCACTGATGGTAATATTTATATGAGGAGGTTTCGCATGTTATTTGGGCCGCTTATACAAAATTAATAGCTTCGGAAATGTCGTGTATGTTTAAAATGAGCGTCAACCTACACTTTTTGTTGAATACAAAAGCATTAATATATTTTAGGACGACGTTGAGCAAGAGGTGGAAGAACCGCAATTGAGGAGGCGTGTGCGACAGTCCGCTGGCTCAGATTTGGTAGAAATCATTGAGAACGTTCTGAAAGAGGAGGAGCGTGTTGAAAACGATGAAACGAAAGAGAACATGAGAATAAAGAACAAGACAAGTGACCCCAGTTCAGATGACGACGTAGCTGTTGAGATGGAATTGGATACAAGCGATAATGATACGAAGTTCAGTGACGAGAAATATCCCATCGACGACAACGAGGCTCTCAGCTTGGTAAATACTGCAAGTTTTCTTCTTTACCTTTTTCTAGCTCTTGTTTTGGGGCTACGCAGAAAAACAAATGTCCCTTTTTTAACTTACTATTTACTGCCTAGTCTTTTTAACGGCAGGGTATATTGCGAAATATAACTCTAATGATGCTGAGATGTTTGTAAAACTCCGTACCGCAGGTGCCTGCGGTGGGGAACGACCGCGCTATTGTCCTTTCCGGGGAATAACGCGTTCGCCACCACACCATGCGGGTACTTCGTTTCGCCTGTCTCTCAGCTAGTTCTATCGAACACTTGCCATCAGCAATCACCCGTCAAGCTCAGCATCATTAGAGTTATATTTCGCAATATACCCTGCCGTTAAAAAGAGTAGGCACTAAATATAGACTCAGCTTAACTAGATTCAATGCCGATGTGGGCTCCCCAGATCAATCCCGTTGACGGGTGATTGCTGATGGCACTGATCGATAGAACTAGCTGAGAGACAGACGAAACGAAGGACCCGCATGGTGTAGCGGTGAACGCGTTATTCCCCGGAAAGGACAATAGTGCGTTCGTTCCTCACCGCAGACACCTGAGGTCCGGAGTTCTGCAAATATCTCAGCATCATTAAATGTCTCCTTATTTCGTCATTTGTCATTCAGTAATCCATGGATCTAGATAATATGCGCAGTTTGTTGTCTGTTTATGGCTGAAATAATTGCATGATATTCTTGAAGACCCGAGCCATTTCTTAATAGGATCGCCACAAGAAGGTTCTGGAAAGCACATCGTCATCATCATCATCGTCATCGTCATCACCATCAGGCAGTAATAGCAGCAGTGATTCATTAGACCTGACCACCATGGAAGGTAGTTGGTGAAATATGTACTTTTTTATTAGCAATGAAAGAATACACATGCATACAATACAATACGCTTTGCAAAATACTGTAGAATAAGAATAAGATAGAGCTCTCGGCGTTGAACAATCCCTGAGGGATGCGCCACACATTCGACCTCATTAAGTATCGTTGAAGGTGAGTGAATGCATATCTGGCCTTTACAATGACTCGCGGTGGCCTACCGATGTATCGAACAAGTGTTGCTATCTTCCCGGACGAGTTTGGTACCAATTTGCCGACCCTCGACGGATGGAAGGCTTGGTGGGTCATGGGCGCGAGGATCGATTCCACGTGCGTGTTGCAGGGCGCCTCCTAACACTGCACCACACGCACCCCTTCATACTACATACTGTTGAGTATAGACATCAAATAGAAAAAAGACTTCTCGTGAGATGAGTTCCAAATGAACTACCAGTCACCTTTAGTAAATAAATATGATGAGGTACTCTATGAAAGTATTAAACGTCTGCGACATTTTTCCTTATCGTTTGTGGATACAATAATTTAGACAAGGATGAGAATGTCGAAGGGAATTCGGTTACTGCAGCAGACGCTTTGAATGATGCCAGTTGGTTTTGCTTTCTACTTTTTTTTGTTCACGTAAGAATGAGTGATAGGGGTGGACAGGTGCAAAGCGAATGGCATCAATCTTCCTCCTAAATGTACCGCTAAAAACAACTCACTGGTAACTTAGCGTAAGTAGGATAGCGTTAGTTTCTTAGATGAAGGTCTGAAACTGAACAAAGTGGTGAAATACAAAAGGTGATTCCTAAGGAATGGAGTGAGATTTCACACGTTAGAAGATCAGAAATTGAGTAAAATGTTTCATTTAGGCACATCATCGATCTTTAAAACACTATTACCACTTTTAATAACGTCGAAGTCTCGTTTAAGGTTCGCTACGCCTTGGAATGGGTGATTTTGTGTTCTATAGTGTTCTCGTTGGTCAAGCCGCCACATCAGGTTTGATGTGTTAACGTGTAGGAGAGGAAATAATTGATATCTTGATAAAATCATCGTGAAACTGAAGCAAAATTCTGGAAGGCAATCCTGTGGGATATTTTGTATTAAAACATGATAAGTATAGCATCATGAGAGCAGTGCCGAAGACTCACTGCTTGAATGAAGCTATTTGAAACGTCAGTAGCTGAAGAGTATGAAAAGGTTTGAAATAGGCAGTCTTTTGATAAGAAAGGATAAGCAATCATGTGACTTAATTTGGAACCAAATGAGTGTCTATAATTTACAATCCATGTCGTTAGCTATTTTAAAATAAACAATACAAATTAAGTGATATTGATTTCACATGAAGATTTCTGTTCAGGAAGCGTCGGTGCAACTACTGCAGCTGCGCTAGGTGTCGTTTATGGTCTTCTCATAACGCTCACTTGTTTCAGTAATGGTAAATTCTTCGCAGAATCAGCAGATTTTTTTTGGGGAGTTTTCACAAAGAAATGTTCCGAGTGTTTGTTAAGAGGCAAAGTTCAGCCCAAATTATAAAATTCTACTTAGAATTAGTTAATTGGTCGTTGTTATCAAGCTTGCTTAGGCCACGTTCACCCCGACATTCAATTGATTTTTCCTCATCACTTTTTTCTGATGAGGGTTTTACATCTATAAAAAAGGTAAAACTCTCGGCGTTGATCAATCCCTGATGGATGCGACGTGCATTCGACTTCATCAAGTATCGTTGGAGGTGGATGAATTCATATCTGGCTTTTACAATGACTCGCGGTGGCTTAGCGATGTATCGAACAAGTGTTGCTGTCTTCCCGGACGAGTCTGGTACCAATTTGCCGACCCTCGACGGATGGAAGGCTTGGAGGGTCATGGGCGCGAGGATCGATTCCACGTGCGTGTTGCAGGGCGCCTCCGACCACTGCGCCACACGCACCCACAATCTATATCTTTACATCTATACACCAAATAAAAATGACCATTAAAAAGCTAGTGAAGCCATATGGGCTAACATTCCGCTGCCCAGTAGGAAGAACTTTAGGAATTTTTAAGGAAGTGCTACCAGTTCTAGTTATTGCAGTTCAGGAACAGCAGTCCTTTCAAATGGGGCTCAAATCGAACGTCTTATCACTGTTTTGAAACTTTTTCAGGCGATGAGACGACGCCGGCTCTTCCGATCTCGATCGTACTCGGCACAGGATTCCACTTCAGTTATCTGTTTCTTGAGCCGCCTCTCATGTATTACACTGATCTCATCTTTCATCATTTGCTTTACGCCATAGGACATTGATTCCTTATCGTTTTACCCATATACTTTATCCATCAGTACTTTTTGGAGGTCGCTTAGTCGACACAAAACGAAAGCTTACCTACTTCGACTTCATCGTGTCCGATGCATAGCTTACACTTTATTTTACCTCCAGAAATTGTTTATTGTTTTTTGCTTGCGACATGCTCCTCTTCGCAATGAATGCCTAATGCGAGCTATGAATTCGATGATTGAAACGGGAATTTTCACTGGAATAGAATTCTTCAGAAAATGAAAATTGATAGATCTGGTAAACTAATTGTGTAGCATCATGCAATACTCTTCGTTTGTGGTATGTTAGTCTCTTGCTTTGCACATTTCTGATTTCATGAATTGCAACGATCTTTGCTAAATACATCACGTGTGATCACGCAGGTATTGCTGTTAAAGATTTCACTGGCTTTTGAAAAACAACTGGATTGAAAAAAACAAGCTGATAGTGTTTACTTTTTTATTTACTGCCTACTAAAATTTTTACGGCAGGGTAATGAAAGAAGAAGGAAGCTCTCAGCATTGATCATTCCCTTAGGGATGCGTCATGCATTCGGCTTCATTAAGCGTTGGAGGTGATTGAATGCATATCTGGCGCTTACAGTGACTAGCGGTGGCCTACCGATATATTAAGGCAGTGCTGCTATCCTCTCAGACAAGTCTGGTACCCATTTACCGAACCCGAAATGATGGAAGGCTTGGTGGGCTATGTGAGCGGAAACCGATTCCACGTGCGTGTTGCAGGGCGCCTCCAACCACTGCGCCACAAGCGCCCTTCACAGCAGGGTACTGTGCGAAATCAACCATAACGATGCTGTGTTATTCGCAGAACTTGGATCCGAAGCCAGACCTCCGTGAGCAATGTGCAGTGCGCGAGCCCCGGTAAAGGAAATCGTGGTTCGATCTGACCCGGCGTCCAGGTTTTGCGCTGAATTGATCCAGAAAATACTACTTAGTTGGATACTTGGACAGTCCGTCTTCACGAGTCGTGCGGACTCCAGCATATATGCCATTCGTTGCTTTCTCTCGCAATCGTAGTTCATTGTGGTGGTCTTGTTCGACCATAGTAGCGCGTGCGAGCCTCATACCGTGATTTGTAAAACATCTGCAGCTGTGGGTACAACTGATTAACTTTGTTTACGAACACGTCAGCCCAACGTCTAGGTGGTCGTCTTAGTGGACGTTTGCATTCCCTTGGAGTCCACTCTACTGTGCCTTTCGTCCATTTGTCGTCTGTCTTTCTCATTATGTGACCGGTCCATCTATGTTTCGTTATCGATGTATATTCTTCTAGATCTCGAAAACGTAACAGATTTTTTTTCTAAGGTCAGAGCTTCGAATTCCGGCTGGATATTGAGAGTGCCGGTTGTAGTTCCCAGGATCGACTTTCTATTAACCTCGGCATTGGAACATGAATGTGTCGTTTTCTTGTTCAGCAATCGCGAGGTTTTTAAACAGCATGCATTTACTTCCATAGAAAAACACAATACGATACAACGCTAGCTGACGTTTTGGTAGTATCGCCTTCTTCGGAGCCGATTGTGGTCAATCACATACGACTATAATCAGCTGTTCAAAACTTCCTCATTGGAAGTCACGAAAAAGCGGCTCTGAAGAAGGCGATGCTGCCGAAACGTCAGCTAGTGTTGTATTGTACTGTACCGGTTATATTTCAAAAGACATCGCTCAAGCGCTCTGTGAGCAGTTTGAAACATTCTTGACGTAGCTGAAGTATCAACCCATGTCTCTGCAGCATAACAGAGCCCTGGGAGGACCGTAGAATCGAAAGACTGAGCACAGATTTTCGGGTCCTTCAGTTGGTCGGTGGGTTCTTTGAGAGGGCCGAATGCGACCCGACGTGCTCACCTTCTTCTATCTAGTTCGCCTTCATGTTGTTTTCCATGTTCATTGATCGCCTAAGGTATACGTACGAGGTGGTCTCTGCAATCAGAGAGCCATCCAATTGAATTTTCTCGCTTTCGCACCGTGGGTTTTTCATGAACTGGGTCTTCTTTCGATTCATCCACAGTCCGATCTTTTCCCTGCTTCATTGAGCTCGTTGATCATCATTTCTGCTTCGCTAGTACTGCTCGGAAAGATAACGTTGCCGTCGGAAAAGGAAGGTTTGATATTAATGTTCCGCCAATATGTATGCGTTTCTCATCTCAATCGAGTGATTTCATTACCCATTGCTGTGGGCACTAAGCAGCTTTGGCGATATTGTGTCGCCCTGTCGAACTCCTTTTCCTGTGGGTATTGTAAGAGGTCGTTGGAAAAGCTGTATTTTCGTAGTGCAGTTCCGATAACAGTCGGACAGGGTCCTTATGTAGGACGGGTCCACTCCTCGGTCGACGAGTGCTGATAGGATTGCATTTGTTTCGACACTGTCAAACGGTTTCTCATAGTGGGCAAAGGTTAGAACTAGAGGCAAGTGGTATTTCCGACAAACTCGATGACCCTGGACATGGTTTGGATCTGCTCCATGCAGCAAAATCCTTTTCCAAATTCTGCTTGCTCGACTGGTTGCGCCTCATCCAATGTCTTGATATGCTCGAGAGGATAATCTTCGTGAAGAGCTTGTAGACTACACTCAACAAGCAAATGGGGATGATAGTTTCGAAGATCCCTTCGGTCTCCTTTCTTGCGCAGGATGACCGTGCTCAAAGTCCTCCACTGGTCTGGGATTTTTTTCTCTTAAAGGTAACCTGTCATATAATCTGCGAGAAGTACACGTAAATCGTGGCCTCCAGCTCTAAGGAAATTGGCAGTAATATTATCGGGTCCCTGAGCTGTGTCTCTTTTCATGCTTTCTATCGCAACTCAAACCTCCGCAGGAAGAATTCCAGGCGGTTTCTCTCCAGCGGAGATATTAGAGCCCGGAACGGGACTGTGAAACGGAAAAGGCTGGTGTAGCACGTTTCCGCTATTAATTCCATATCATGGTGAGATGGTATCACAGCGGAACATTATAATCACACAAGTCCCGACGGCATTTTTTCAGACTGTTTCTTTTCTCTACTGCTTCCAGTAGTTTTTTTTATTATACCGATGTAAGTCTTCCTGCAAAGCTCGTTTGCATGTGGCATTTATTACTACCCGTGTTAAACGTGCAGTTGGATCAAGCTTCAGTTTCCTTCTCTTTTGCAGCAAATCCTTAGAGGCGATGGAGATGCGATCTGATCATCTAGAATGTTCTCGTCGTGTACAGCTAGGCTTTTTATTTGTGGTCGTTGAAGAGAGTTCTTTTCCAGCTTGCGGCTGAATCGAATCTTCGAACGAAGAAGGCGGTGATCGGAACCGGTACAGAATGACGGGTCTACCGATCTGTCAAGTAGGCACCATTTTCTGTTTGTCAGAATATGGTCGATCTCCGCATGCCGTTAGGAGATTCCTATGTCCAGCGACGGCTTTCTTTTTTCTGGAAGAACGAGTTTCCATGGAAGCGACGTGCTGCTGACGGGAGTCTTGCGAGACGGTTCCCACTCTCATTTCTTTCTTCTAGTCCAAAATTTCCGATCTTGTATTCGCTCTCGTTGGCCTTTTCTATTCTGGCGTTGAAGTCTCCAACAATAAATTTATGATACGCTTTATCATTGCTGATGACTTCCTCCAACTGATAGTAGAACGCATTTAATTCGTACTTATCAGCTGCGTCGGTGGGTGAGTAGCAGTTGATGATAGTAATCTTCTTATGATGCGACAGTTGAAGACGGAGACGGCTATGCGAAGGGAAAGGATCTCGTGTGAGTCGACGAGATGGGCAATGGACGGGTGTACGACAAAGCCTTCGCCACCGATATTTCGTGACGGGATCTTTTCTCCGCGGATCACAATGGTGCCGTTGTTTAGTTGGCGTATGTCGGTCTTCTCGACTTTTGTTTTTTGTAATGCGATCATATGAAATTTAATGCGATTTGCGGTTGCAAGAAGGGCGTGAAGTTCGGCGTCTGTGGAGAGTGTTCTGGCATTATGCATGCATAGTAAGAAACAGTCTCCATGGCGTGTCGTGCGTGTGTTCGTCGGGTCCGGTTCCAATGACGTCCTGCGTAGCTCGAGATTTTCTGGCCTCTTACCAGTTGTCTCACCGCCTTACGTCATAGACGGGAGCACCTATTGTGAGGGGTACTGAGGCTGGCCGTGCAACTTGGTCTTCCCTGGACTTAACCTTGAAAGGGAGTAGCCAGGTCTTCATCACGATGTGAATCTGAGGGACGTGTATTTTCCCACAGAATATAATCCACATAAACGAAAAAAAACACCCACGCTTTTGCATGAACGCGTCTTCTCAGATGCAGAAGGTATATGCCAAATCGGCGTAGCGGAAACAGGGAGTCCTCTGGATCAATTTGCCTCTCAGGGAAGCGGTCGCTTTTAACCAGCGATTAGAGCTCTGTCAGTGCTAAATATACGCATATGCATACCTTTGTTTATACGTTATATATATACTTATTTACATGTTTACATAGATATGTCGTGCAAGCAAAAGTCATGCAGTTGAGAATCTGTCAAACAGATTGGAAAATGTTAAACAGATTGTTTATGATCATGGTTTCCAGCTTTTGTTTTAAAAAAATTATATAAGTTCTTTGTTTGTAGATGATGTATCAGTTAGCGTTTTGTTCATCAAGATTATCGGTTGGTTGGTTTATAGTAATTTCACAGTCTTAAGTTTATATGCTAGTATAGAGAACTTCTCCCTTGGAAAGTTCTCTATCTAACTAAATAATAGTATTTGATGTCCAAATATGGCCCTCTCGCACTCGCACATCAAACACCGCAATGTAACCTTTCTAATCTTCTCGATCAATTATGTTCAATGTTTCAGGCACTATAGCGATTCAGGTTTGACTTCAGTAGCATAGCGACGATGGCCTATCCGAAGGAGGCGTAACCATAGAACAGTTTACTACTTGCTTGCGAAACAACGAAGCTAATGACGTTTGATGTTTCAGGCAGTTAGGTACAGTCTTCTGCGGTCGAGGATCAACAAT